CCGCGACCTATACGGTAGGTGTCTTTGTTTAACCTACAGGATAAACAAGGACATCTATTGTATAAGCCGCGGCCTAAATGCACGGTGTAAACGTAGCCTATGCATTGAAGATTAAGATTGAAGATTGAAAAATTCAAATTTGACCAATCGAAATGAAAGGAGCTAAAATTTTTTTGTCCTTATTGGTCAAATTTCAATCTTCGATCTTCAACCTCAATCTTCAATGCGTAGTCTGATTCCGGCCTTACGCAGCTGCGACAAGGTAAAAAGAAGACACGCTGGTCACAATCGCTGGAGGCCGGTCTCCGAGAAACTCGCCACCGTCGCCGTTCGTCCGGAAAAGAAGAGACAGACGAAGAAAGAGGGAGAATTACGGGCGACAGGTGCGAGAACTTCACGACGACGCTCGAATCCGCTCGATCTCGTAGCGTGCGGCGCGACGAAGTCGAGTTTCAGTTGCGACTCCACGTTCAGGGCGTACTTATTTCTATATATTCAGGGTGACGCTATATTCAGGAAGGAAGATCGATCGCCGGACCGACACCTCCGAGTTCCGATGAGAACGGGAAATTGCCGTAATTTCCACGCGATTTCGATCTTCGACGTTTAGTCCTACGTGCGCCGACGTGCTGCGATTCTCCCCATGGTGTCCGAGATGAACGGACACGGACGGAGAGAGCATTTTCGCGCACCCGTAGCGTCAAAAATTCAGCTCGCTCCGTCGATTTGGTTCTGTATCAGAAACAAACTCGATCAGTATTCAGTCGCGACTGATATACTTCCTCGGTGTTTGCTGTTATCTATATAAAATTATCTGTATAATTATCTAATTGAAAAAATGGCTTCATCTTATCTTTATCTAGATTATTAGAATTAGTATTATCAACATTGTATTATCAACATCTTTATTTTAGATAACAGAAGTACTATCTTTTTCAAATTATCTTGATGTGCAGTGAGTTTGACATGCACCCCTCAGTGAAGGGAAACATATTCATTTTTAAATCAGATGTTTATGTTTTATGTTGTTAAATCAGTGCTGTCTAGGATTTGTAATTGTAAGGATTAAGAATGGATCATGATATCTACATTGGCTATAATACATCTCTTCTAATAACGAAGATGTACCGATCTTGTTGAAGGATACAAAGACCGGTATACAACTGAAGGTGCACACGAAAGTCAACAAAAAATCAAAATAACTTCATTTTGCTTGTTAACGTCAATAAACAATCAAATTTTATAATAATAGATCATTTTAACTTTCGTGACGTCAAAATAAAGTCATTTTGACTCTCTCATGACTTACGACCGTTTCTTTACTCTTCATCTTTTTCTAATTCTTAAAATTAGAAAAAGATGTAAAGTTAGTTGAACCGAGATTAAAATTAAACTACATTGGTAGAAGCTGCATTAGTGTGTTCCTCGTGTAAAAAACAACATAAGCAGCGCGAGATAATACGCGAATACAACGGAGGGAGCTAACGGGCGGCGACCTGACGCTCTCTCGGGGGAGGGGGAGGAGAGGAGAGGAGGCGGATGAGCGCTCGTCGAGAGGAATACCGAACTTCTTTTCTCGCAAAAGCGCGCGTATATCGATCGCTACTGGCGTGGCTCCGGCCAGGAACACGGCGACGCGACGGCCAGGAACACCTCGCTGTCCGCACCGCTCCGCTGTACGTATGTATATGTGTGTGCGTGTGCGTGCGTGTGTGTCGTCCGATGAATTGTTAACCGCTCCGTCGTTGTGACCGTGACCGATATATTCCGGAGACGCGGCGCGGTTACGCGCGCTCGGTGGCGCGGCGGACGCGCCCGACGCGTCGTCGATAGGGGTAATTAGAGCGGCGGCGTGCGCGCGTTATGCAGAAAAAAAAAATAATTATCCCCCGTGACATTTTTTTTTATTTATTTCCACCCATTACATTATTATTAATCCCGGTGATCCCGATCCTTCGTCATCCGCCATTTCCGCTATTTCGCGAAAGGGGAGCGAGAAAGAGAACCCTACCGGGGTGGAAGAGAATGGGAGGAAAAACGGTGAACCGGGAAAACCAGCCGACGCCGGTCGATTGTATTTTTTACGCGTCGCCGTGCCGCTCCGCGTAATGCATAATGCGCTAACGAGGGACGCGATATTGTATTACCCCGACTTGTACGTACGAGGGTGTGTACGTGTTAACACATAAACGGGACGCTTCGCGGAAACGCTGCCGCGTCGCGGCAAAAATCGATGCGGCGCCGAGCCGAGCCGAGTCGAACCGCGCCGCGCTGCTGCGGTTCCGTCGCCGGCGCTTCGTCGAACGGAGCGTCGTCAAAGGCTAACGTCATTGACGTAGTTCCCTCGAAGGGGTCGGGCCCACCCGCTCGCTCTCTCTCTTTCTCTCTCTCTCTCCCTCCTCCTTTCTCTCTCTCTCGAGCGGAGAGGAGCGGTTCTCGGAAAAGTCTCGCCGCTGCATATGACGACGCGGCACCGCACGGCACGGCGCGGCGTGCCGCGCCGCGCCGCGTCGCCGTGCGTCGAGCCTGCGCACGCTAGGACGCGCAATGCGACACGCGATAGAACGGGACGGCGAAACGGTACGACCGCGGTAATCTCGTTACGGGACGAAGGGGTCAGAGGGGAGGGAAGAGAGAGAGAGAGAGAGGGTGCGCGAGCGAGAGAACGAGGGCGTCGAGAGTCGGGGACGCTTGGTACCGGGGTGAGTTTTCTGAAGGTAGGTAGGTGGTTGGGTAGGCAGGCAGGCAGGCGGTGGAGTAGGCAGGTGGAGGCAGGGAATTTAATAGGAGAGCCGCAGTAAAGAATGTTAATTTTACCGTAATGGCATCGGTCTCTCGCACGGTCACGCTATCGCCCGTTAAAAATTGATATTCCTCGCGTCCTTGCGCGAAGGATGGTGAGGGACGGGGGTGGGAGGGATGAGGAGTGGCGGCGGATCGCCGACGGGGATAGAGAGGGAAAATGGAATTCCGTTTGTTGCGCAATATATCCCAATACCTAGGCGCGGTAAAAGAGAGAGAGAGAGAGAGAGAGAGAAAAAAGAGAAGCAAGCGATAATTTCTGTGATATTCGTTTGCAATTCGCTCGGTGATAAAGGCCTTTTCCGCGTGGCGTCGAATATTCAAACTCGTCGGAACAGTACCGTCAAAATTTCGAATTGTTTCAATCTCCGGTTAAAAGCGACGTTCAATCGAGTGAGGTGAGACGTGGGAGGCTCCATGTTTTGGACGTTTAATGTGAATAAAAAGGGTGGAGAGAGGGGAAATGGAAGAGAGAAACAAAAACAGAGAGAGAGAGAGAGAGGGATAGAGGTGACAGGATGCACAATATATACAGAGAGAAAGATACACAACAGCACACATTGCACGTATGCATCTGTATACTGTGCTGTGCGCTTATAGTATTCTTTATTTAAAGAATACTTACAATGTGGGTTAGTATGAGGCAGAGGAAAATGGATATAAGCTTGATATAGCTTTAAACGTATAAATGCGAAGGAGAGCTTGAATATAAAGCCGCGTCTCGCCGTATTCAGCTCGGAGCGACATGTAATATGCATCTCCATTACGTATTTAAACATTCGTCTTCCGCACATCCTGCGTAATTTAAATTCGCGCCTCGGGACCAACGTCGCTCTCTCTCTCTCTCTCTCTCTCTGATTCGACGCGCGTATCGCTTCTATTAATTAAAATACAATCGCGCGAGCTTATAATAATAATTAACGTGAAATTCGCATTACGGATTATCGCAAGAGACGCAATTATGACGCGATGACTATTGTTTTTATTACCCGATCCTATTCGACTTTCCAGAAATAAGAAACTTGACGTCCAGTAAGATCGAGAGGAAAAAAACGAGATCCACCGGAAGTTAGAACGTCGTTAGAATGTTTTTTAGGCTCTCGCTCACTTTGTTTCCGTGGTTTTACCACCAGCCGAAAAATTGCCGTACTTCTTAATGACTTCCCGGCTGATGTAATTTGAAATTAGAGAAGGAAACGCGAGCGGCTGTGTGCCGTGCCTCTGCATACGCGTCAATACACGCCGACCCTCCCGGCGAAGGCGATCCACAAGGCGTTTTCCCTGCGCGAAACCAGGCCATGCATGTATAACATTATTATATCGATTACACAAAAGAAAATAGCTTATACCTCTTAACGATAACGCGACTGTCATTCGTGCGTTCTATATGCAGCCGTTATTACGCGTAGCGCCTGCAAAACGTATGTACGTACGTGTTCGCTGATGCTTGAAGGAGAGGAAAAGAGAGGGAAGATTTCCTTTACTCGTCTATCAGAGACAGAGAGCGAAAGAGAGAAAAGAAAAAAAAAACGAGTAGATAGAGGGAAAACGAAGATCGACCGCCGTACACCGTTCCAATAAAATCTCGCCCTTATCGATTTCTATAAAAATAAATTACTACATTTTTAGAGGCATTACATCAGACTTTTCCGATCCGAACCCGTCCGCCCATTCGTCCGTGCATCCGCTTTTACACGTATATACGTATATATACGTACCTACGATACGATTTCGCGTATACGTGCAATATGTGCTTGCGCATCGCGCGCAAATTGGGCCACCACGTATGCGTACTGTCGCGCGCATCGTCGTAAATGCGCGACGTCGTACCGTCCGAAAATGCAACAATCTTACAGATAACGGGTTCTAAAATAACGAGTAAAGTACATAATTGAAATAATAGCTCTGAAACAAAACGCGCTGCCAACACATATTTGCAAGCGCAGAAAATTCTATGTTCTTTAGACGTTCACTCCTACATGCTGCCCGAGTAGAAATATGTGAATACGAAATGGCACTCGCCGCTGTGCACAAGTTCGTATCGGATAAGAGTATTTGAAATTTATCGTATCCACAATGCGGCGAGACATGCGACACCGCTGCGGTAGATATAGCTTTGAATTAAAGTGGGATTACTTTACCGCGAAAAAGATCCTTCTACGAAATGGTCACGTTACGTTCCGCGAATTTGTCTGACATTTTGGAGGTAAGACTTTATTCGAATTTATTACATCGATTGTAACTATTTTGTACAATTAAAGTATCTCTTCTTTTCTTTTTTTTAACAATGAGTTTATACAATAGTACAACGTGTCCAGGTACTATTGACGGGAAGGCGAGGGAATGCCCGCGGAAATTACGAACGCGCATATAGAGAAAGAATAAACCGTGATTTCGTCGAATCTTATTCCCTTAATTCACTCAAAGGTCACTGGTATCGATAGAATCGGCAAAATGGGATTTGTCGTTTCAACCTCCAACGCTGTTGCCATACAGTCGCTGGCAGCCTCCACCTCGCCCAGTGATTCCAACACCATTCCCAAATTGTACCTGAAATATAACACTTTTTATGTACCGTTTATAATTTATAACATTAAATAATAATATATATTATATAATAAACTAATAATTTATATGTAATATATGATTATAACTATATAAGGAAATAAATACTAATATCAAGAAAGAACAAAATCGATAAGACACGTGCATCAAATCTATTCGTATCTTGATATTCAATTTATCGCGATTCTTAAGATAACTGATTACCCAATTAGTACAGATATGTTATCATTGCGAAATCGTTATAGATAATAAATGACCATTGACTCGTGCCACAAAGATAAATCGTCACGATAATCTTATGTTACTGTACAATTGAAGTTATGTAATACCAAGTTTGATGTGAATTTGGATCGATTTTCGCGGCGTCCCTCAAGGTTTTCTCAGCCAGTCTCTGACTACCCAAATAGTGATAAATAAGACCCTGCAAATAGATCAGGTAGAAATAGTATTAGATTTATACGTTTATAAAATCGTACAAAATATATATAAAAAGTTGTATAAAATATATGTTAGTACATGTAGCGCAACAATTATTACCAAGTGTTGTAAACTCTTTATATGCGAAGGATTAATTGAAACAGCGTTTTGATAGCATTGCTTCGCTTCCGTATACTCCAACTTGTACTCGTGCAGAAGGCCACGCTATAAAAAGATAATGATACTTGATTATCATACAATGCTACTATAACAATCACTCAATGAATCATTTAATCTAAATCATCGAACACGGATAATGGTGAGGAGATTCGAACTATACCGTGTACATAATGTGATGACTCAATGGGAAGATGTTGGTAGCCTCTTGGAGAGACAGAACAGCGCCGTTCGGTTGGTCCAGAATAAGGAAAACCTCGGTGAGCAGGAGCCAGATCTGCAATTGCAGTAGCCATGCTCTTTGCGGCCCTGGCTTTGGTGTGAATGAGCTAATTGACGAGGCAACCTCAGAAAGAGCTTGCTCGACTTTCGAAGCGGCTAATGATTGCGCATGCAGGGAACCTATCGGAAATGGTCGCCTTTTGTGAGATCAATCGATTTTTCGGAGATTCTTGTGTGGAGGGCCTATCGTATTTTGTATTAAAATTATTAAATTAAATTTCTGTTTAACAAAATGTTGGGATACGTTAATGGAAAACGCACTTAAATGATTTAATCTGTTTATAAAATGACACAATCCGTTTGTTATTTCTACTTAATGTTATCCAATGTTATCTACATTGCGTGCACGACGTATATAACTCACTAGAATCTTTATCGGACATTTCCGACGTGTAAAGCTGAAAGACGCTTCTAGTCTCGCTGCGCTTCTCGCTCTGTTGCTCGTTACAATTAACGTTCGTCTGATCCTCATAAAGACTCTTCCACAGATGTAGCATGTGGCTGATGGTGTATAAGGCATCGACACCGCCGATGCTTCGCAATTCGAGATGCGCTTTCACATAGAGGAAATTCAAGTTATCCGGATATTCCTCTAGTACGCTGTTTATCACATGTAATGCTTCAGAATATTGCTTATGTGCCGACAGGAGTAATGCGAATAAATGCAATGATGGAATGTGTTCTGCTCGTAGATTCAGTGCAATTTTCACGTGTACGATGGCGTCGGTTATTTGTCTGTTTATCGCATATTCATGAGCCAGGTAATACTCGGCCAGATGATCGTTGGGATCGCACTGTTGCGCTCTATTCGAGAATACACGATCTTTTATTAATCAATTAAGAAAAAAATCTACGAGAATGTCGTTTCTTAATTGTTGTTGAGCTACGCGAGAAATACGTACTTTTGAAAGCAGTCCATCGCGGTGTTTGTGTGATTTACTTTGTCCTGCTTCACAATTGTGTTTGTAGAGAGCATGCTGTGGCCGATTCCGATGTACAAATGGCATCTAGATTGCATCCCCTGTGGACTCGCCATCTCTCGTTGCAGAGCTTTTTGGCTCCATTCGATACCTTCATTTATCTATTCAAAATCGTCAACGTGGGAATATGCTTTTTATTTTTAAATATTTTATTTTAAATATAGATGAGAAGTATAAATGAGAGATATAAATGAGAAATATGGTTTATTTACCATATTTAATTGCTCGTAACATAGCCTCGCCGCCAACAGACAGGGCATTACTTTCTGAGGCGATAGCCTGGCGACTACTTTCAAAACTCTATACGCGTGCATGTATCTCCCCATGCTTATTAGGCATAGCGCGTACTGCGTCCATATGTGTACTTCCTCATGAGAGAACTTCATTGCTCTTTCGAAAGACTAAAATATTAAATATCGAATAATATATGAAATTATCATTAAAACAACGGTGTCTAATAAGATGAATAGGATTTTCCAAAAAAGAGAGAAAATCTCAACCTCATGTAAAAGTTCCACTTGACTCCATCTGACAACGACAACCGTGAGTAGATCGTAGATAGCAGTGGCGTTCTCAAACGCGTGTATCCTGGCTTCCTTGAATTCAGGCGATTGACTGAGGACGGCGTCTCTTACCGCCATCGCCTCGCTGATCAACAATAGCAGAATCGACTCCTCGTACTCGTTCCTGGGGACGAACATATTTGGTCCCGCGTACTTCTTTGGTTTCCACGGCGAATCCGACAGATTGGCGCCTGAGTAATGATTTATCCGTCTATTACTCACGGCTGCTGCGATATTAATATGAATAAATTTTTCTTCTTCAGAATATTCCGCTATATTTATGTGGATATATAGTATATTTGTTATCATACCCATTGTGTCAGTTTGTTCGTCTGGTGGTTTGTAATCAGTACCGCTTATGCCGCGTAATAACACTTCCGCCAACTGTCTGGTCAGAGTTACTCGCAGACTCTGAGTAGTTGTAGATTCAACAGCAGATAAAATCTCCCTGTTAAAATTGAAACAGATTATATAAGCTATCCATGAAAAAAATTATATTTGGTAATAATTATATATATCATTATAACAAATATTTTTCTTAAAATTAATATTATGACAAGTATCTATATATATTTTTGTTAATTAATAAGCCGTAAAAAAGTTTCTTATACAAGAACTGGAGTTATACAGGGTCATCGAAAAGTATCGGACCCCCCTAATATCTTCAGTTAGAATGCATTTTGGAGAAAATGTCCAATAGCAAAGTTGTATGGTTTCAAGCGAGGAGTAAGATGATGACCTTGACTTTGATCTTGACCATGCTTTTAAGGTCATTTCAAGGTCAACCTTATTTTTTTAAATGGAACCCCCTACATTTTATTGCATATTTTTATAGCTTATCTCGAGAGCTTTTCAAAACACTATAATAAAACATTTTTTCATTAAGTACTTTTTGAGTTATAAAGGTTTGAAGTTAACAATTTTTTGACACAAAATGTAAATCTTGTAAAATATTATTTAGTATATTATACTATATTATAGTATATTATACTATAAATAGCCGGACCCACACGCCACTCTTGCCTTAACTGGCCGGACCCACACGCCACTCTTGCCTTAACTGGCCGGAATCACACGCCACTTAACAAATTGTTAACTTCAAACCTTTATAACTCAAAAAGTACTTAATGAAAAAATATTTTATTATAGTGTTCTGGAAAGCTCTCGAGATAAGCTATAAAAATATGCAATAAAATGTAGGGGATTCCATTTAAAAAAATAAGGTTGACCTTGAAATGACCTTAAAGGACATGGTCAAGATCAAAGTCAAGGTCATCATCTTACTCCTCGCTTGAAACCATACAACTTTGCTATTGGACATTTTCTCCAAAATGCATTCTAACTGAAGATATTAGGGGGGTCCGATACTTTTCGATGACCCTGTATAATTAGCACATACCTATAACGATTAACAGCGGCTTGTATGTTGCCGGTTTGAATATACAATATTGGCGCTCTCTGTAGCGCAGTTTCCAAAATGGGACCGATATGCTTTGTAGAAACTGGAGTTGGTGTGGAGTATGTACCTACAAAGAAAAAGAAGAAACATTAAAATGTTACAAACTATATATATTTTTTATCGGATTAAACTCTGTCAATTACCTGTATTATTCGTATTTATAGTGGAAATACCATTTTGTTGCTGCATAGCAATTTTGTCTTGTTCCTGCAAATACACCAACGTCAAGTCACCAGAAATTTCGTAACACTTGATTATCTGTTCTTGCCATTCTGTAATCTTATATTTCGACTTAGAGTGTGGTGGTAGCCTTTCCAGACAGAGACCTGACATGAGTAACAGTTTACAATATTATTATCAATCAGGGAATACTGACACGTTTATGACAATGTTAAAAAAAAAACTAAATTTAATGTACAAAATAAAATTAAAATTTTCAATCTTAGTAGGCAGAAACATGTGACGAAATACTTCACAAAACTTATAGCTTCATTCCTTGTGAATAATAACGATCTTCATATTGTGCTTGCCCCAAACTCATCGCAACTAAATCTAGTTGTATTCGATAGAAACAAGTAGATGAAATTAAATATCAAAAGAAGCAAAACCATAGAACTTTTGTTTATCCCGCTTAAGAGATTTTTTGAAAATTCTATATATTAAAAAATACATAAATGAGATAACATGCTGATGTATGTTCTTAAATTTATAAAAGCAGTTACAAGCAAGCTTCTATATTATCATAAAGTGGATATTATTGTAAAGTGTGCAATACATATTAAATGTGCAGTAATTAAATAAATTTCTAAATAGATACAAGCAAAACGAAGCAAACAAGCATACAAACCTTTGATCGCATATGATTCTGCTATAATGCGCAGTCTTCGGCAGGATAAATGTTTGTCAGTGTCTAAAGTAAACGATCTTTCTTTCTCTAAATCATACACAAGCCATAGTAATAAATGAATATACTGGATAATAAGAAATTTATGAATTAAATAAATGTGTCTAATCAATTCGTTACTAAAATTAGTGCATGGACACGCTAAGGGAAAGACAATATATATGCATAGAATTGTCGAAGTATACAGTTTCAATTTATACTATCTATTATGAAATGCCTATGTTCAATGCAAATCTTGCACATAAAACGATGTATATGTATATATATAAATATATATATATAGATATTTTTTTATCTAACAACATAACTATCAAACAAAAAAACTACTGTTAAGAGAGAAAACACAGAAAAACTATAAAGCAAGCTGTTATGTGTACCTTTTTAAATATTGCACTAAAACATACTACTATCATCAGAAGGAAGAAACCATAATAGTTGTCAATTGCAAACCTTTAATTGCATACGATTCTGCTATAATACGTAAACTTCGACAAGGTAATTGCTTTTCTGTGAGTGTATCTAGTTCAGCTTGTTGATAGTGATGAATCGCATCCTCGTACATTCCCATCGCATAGTGAAGTTTTCCAAGTAGCAGATGAGCATCCAGAACGACTAACGCCTGAAATGGCATTATTAGAAGCAAACCAATCAGACACGATTGACTCTTATTTTCTATCAGACACACTATTCTTTCATGACGTTACAGTACCTGTTTATCCTTTTCATTAGCAGCTAGCAACAAGTATTTCCTTGTTTCTGTCAGTCCATTTCGTGCCTTGACAATATTAGCGTCTATCGGTGGAGTTTGCTCCAAAAAACTCTCCAATCTTGCTTCTCCGCTCAAGAAATTCGCCAGACATTCTATTGAGCAAAATTAAGATGCTACAAAATCCTATCTGTGTGTTTATACAAACTACATATGTAAATATTTAATAAAATAGAACTTTTTGAATATTTAGTATCGCTTGAAAGAAATATTCGGCAACGCTCGGCAATATTTCATTAATTTTCTTGCAATATATCAAAGGCTGTATTATTATACAAATATTATTTTCTCTCTGCGTGCTTGCTACGCGAAACAGCAATTACGGGAATAAAAACAGCATAAATGATAGTGCAAAACATCGCAGAAACAAAACATCGAGGATACATATAACTCGATATATAATTAAACAGAAAGAGCGTGACATTTCGTTCACGAAGACTGCGAATATCCTTGATCTTTACGTGACGTGACATCATTTTTCCTTCCATTTGTCTGTCTCTCTTTCTCTTGTAGAAAATAGTGGGACGTTGTTGTTGCAAGCATACGTGGGAGAGACAGCCCCGATCAGACCAGATCAGGCCAGATCAAACGATGGAACCGAGGAGGGCAGAGAGATGTAGAGGGGGGGGGGGGGGGGGGGAAGAGGGAGAAACATTTACCGTTGCTGGGGTACTGCACTTTTAGATGATCCGCGAGTTGTATAACCTTCTTCCAGTTGCCATCCTCGCGATTCCGATCGATTTCGGACTCTATGCGGAGGGTGTGACTCTTCTTGCTCGTCATCGCGAATCACGGATCTCGATCCGAGTCACCTGGCGGTCCAGATCTCAATCGGTGCCGGGCAGCAGCGGCAACGCGAACACGGCGATGTATCGATCATTAGCAGTACTTCCTCGCGCGGGATCAACGCGGCCAGTCATGGCAGCCCAGCGGTGCAGCGGTGGCAAGGATCCGTCCGCTCTGAACGTAGCCGACGAACGCGCGACCGCTCGCGAACACGTGCGCGTGACAAACTGTCACAAACGTCACGAGACTCCGTTCCCCGCGGACCGATTCGGAGCGGATTTGCATGGCCGCGTGAAGTGCGACTCCGATTGACGACCAATCACGTACGTTTACGTCACGTACGACGCACGCGTTCCTCCGTTTAGATCCGTGATTGGCTGCTTTATGGCGCTTCTTTCGAAAAGCGCAAAAATAGTTCGAAAAAGACTAATCCTTCTATCACTTTAAAATAATTTAGCAGATATATTTCATCTTTTATTTTATTATACATTTAATCTTTAACAAATATTACATCTTTTATTTTATTTAAAAATTACAAATAAATTATAAATATATAAAATATATAGGATATTACCTTTCAAATACAAATATAATTATTCTTGAGCTAATATATTAAATAATTTTTTGTAACGTTCCTTCCACTTTGCTCGGATGTCAGCTATATTATGCTATATGGAAAAATAGAAAATGTATACGTCATTCACTTAAAAGAATGTATCTAAATGTACAAAAAGTATCACGAACCTGTAATATGTGTACACCTCGTTGTGTGAGTACAATCAGTTCTTTTATTCCATCGTTTGTTATGTCCATGTAGCTTATAGAGTGTACAGGAGCGTCAAATAGTTTTCTGGTGGCTAATTCCCACGTGTCGCCTGTTAACGCGAAGATCAGGACCTCTTGACCGTAAGTACCAAGCAAAATCTCGTTTTGGCCATCCATATTTATGTCCGCTATGCAACAGCACAGAATACAATCCGACGATTCACTGCCGCTTAATATCACATCTTGTTTCATCCCATGTTGCAAGATATCTCTATAGAAAGACAAACACTTGGATTGTAGAATTGTGAAAAGTTTTTACATATGGAATTTTTACATACATATTACGAATACAACCGACGTTTTTACTGGACATTATAATGTGACCGAATTTTTCGATAATTTATGTAATATTGTTTGTTGTTTTACATTGAAAATGACCCGATTGGTGTCGAAACGTTTGTATGTACGAATTTTAAATTATTAAATATTTTACATTATAATTGGCTCGTAGCCCTTCTTTTATTTAGTGACAAACACTTGTATTTTGTTTGTAAAAGAATACCTATTAATTAAAAACTACTTACTTAAAGACGACAGCATTATTTGTACTTGAAATAATAACATTTAATTTTGGGACGTCATCCTTTGAGACAAATTCCTCAGCTGAAATTTTTTTGTAATTTTTATCTTAAAGTCTTAAATTGTGCTACATGCATAAACGATACACCTAAAATATTTACAATTGACATTTGCAAAGGCTGGTTTACTAATGGTGTTGCTATGCGGGAATACTATCACACTTGGTACAGGCTTGTCGTATCTTAGCAGCCAGCTTCGAGAAACTTGTAGATCATTCACGTTTACGATGGCAACTTTGACTAGACCGCACTCACAACCAACGGCGGTGACTCTCCTATATGCGTAAGATTGTATATCAAGTCTTGATAAAAAAAAAAACGGAATTCGATTTTTTTTTTAATTATACGAACCGCTTATAATTGTCATAATAATAAATATTAATCCATAGCGCGATTGCTTGGATGTCATGCAGCTCCGGGAAATATTTTTCAATAGAGGACTCGCTGTAAACGTGACTTAATTTATCTTCCCTTATCATATGAATCCTGTAATCGCTCCCAGATATTAGCCAAACTACCTGCAAATTTCGAGTTATGCTATAAAGCAGTAGAAATCGTAATAATAATTAGGTCTGTTCTTTGCAACTAAACTAGTGTACACTCGTTGTACCTAAAATGAAATGTATTATGTCATAGTCAAAGCGTTAACTTTAGTAAATATATATACTTTTAGTTAGTATACATGTATATTTATGTACTACAGCAGACTGCAGTAAGTGTATACATTTAGTTAACACTTTGACTGTGATATGAAAACATATACAAAATATTAATAAATATATATAAAATATATTTATATATATATTTAAAAAGTAAAATAGAAAGATTTTGACTGCCTTTCTTTTAAGACAGTCGACACAAGTGTTATTTTTTTGTTATTCATCGAATGCAAAAAAGGATAAAATGACGTTTGTGTCAACTGTGTCTCCTAAAAGGGAAGCAGTCTTAGTGCAGTCCAATGTAGAGACAAAGAAAAGGCTTCTGGTAACGTAATTCATTGACAATTTAAACTGATTGATATTGCTAATGTACCTCCTGTACAGAATTTTGTTGTGGTAAAACGGTATGATACAAATGGTAAGGAGTGTACGACAGTTCCACCATGAGACAATTCTGCGCTATGGCTTCGATCGAGCTACCTTCGTCTCCTTCGCCGTCTACTGCACCCTCCGTGTATATGTTCAAGTACCTTTCTATTGTGTCTGTGCTAGCCTTCATGATTGTTATGCCTATCACAAAACTATCCCCAGTGTCGGACTTGTTGTAAGCATCGATGGAAATAATCTCTGCACCACCTAAGATAAAAAACAAATTTGTTCATAACGCTACTAGTCAAAGAATTTATAAAAGAAGATACAGAATGGCATATGAAATGTTATACCATTTAGTTATCTAATTGTCAGACTGTAATGATAAATCTTGTATTAGTTCTGTAATAATTTTATATATTAAAAGTAAATGTTTTATATATAAACCAAATGATATGACATTTCGTGCGCTATCTTCTACAATTCTTGAATAAAATAGTTTACATACTGGGAATGTATGTGAACAATAATTCCTTCACCATAGGTCTTAGAAATTCCTGCGTTTGATGGTACTCGCAGGAGTATATTTTTCTTTTTAAAGACGCCACTAATAATTTGTTGGAACTATTAGGCGAGCACAGTTTGGTCATGGAGTAAATATTTCCCTGGGATGCTAAGGGAAACCAGTGTGCGTCTATGAGATTGCTCATCATTGTAAGTCGTCAGAAAGGCTGCTAAAGCAAGTGAAATAATTACAGAGACTTTTAACACTATCTTACATCTATTTCTATCAATGTAATTTAATCTTAATCTTGGTTCAACTGACTTTTCATCTTTCTCAGAATTCGAGGCTCAGTTCCATCAATGTAAGATCAACATCTTGATTTGACTTACTGTTTATCTTTAGAATTACAAAATGAGCAAGTTAATATATATAAACTAAGATTAAGATTAATTTTACATTAGAGTGGATCCACAGGCCTTAAGTATTTGATGTTTTAGAATATTAACATAGCTGTAATTGTGACATCTTAAGACTATACTTAAGACGGTCTTAAATATAAGAATCAATTATAAATATCGACCAGAGTAATTTCTCAGACGGACAGACATTTATAGAAAAAAAAGAGAAAAAAATAAACAAACCTCTATTGCAAACTTGTGCCGAATTGAGGTTATATTTATTACAATCGACTAACACGTGTAGAGAAGCTCGCTTTCATCTCGAACGTCGGTCTAGCGTCAATCCTGCGTCAATCCTTTGCAATTTTAATTTCCATCGACCGCAATCTCATCGCCGATCCGAGAAATCTTGAATACATTTGCGCGCGCGAGCGCATCGCGCGATGCAGCTGAGAAAGTAGATGAGATTTAGAGAAAGAGATAGAGACAAGAGAAAAGTCATGCCTTCTTCTTATTCGGCAACGTAATTGCCGCGTGCGCGGATTTTCGCAATCGCTTTCGTAATAGCCTTGAGGAAGCCGTGGACCGCCGTGGACGATGACGCGATACGTGAAAGTGGGTGTGCCCGTTGCAGCGACTCGGTACGCTCACAGTAGTGCTCACAGTGCTCGCACAGCTCGGATCGGTTGTGTCTGTCTCTGCGCGTCCGAATACTCCGAGTTTTTCCACCGACAGGAGCTAGAGACCGGTAAGGAGAGCGACAGAGAGTGTCCCCCAGTTCGGTCATATAACTCGGTAATGTGTTCACGTCCTCTTTTTATTCCCTATCCTATCTATGTCGCTCGGAGCCGACGATGCGACCCGATGATCGATGACGGATCACCGGGTATGCCAATTAAGCACCCAACGTACTTAATCCCAAGGGAACTCCAGGAAACTTCGACCAAACTCCGATTAATTAATTTTTTATCGATTGATGTCCATTCGGTCAATGTAGATTTAATCTTGCCTTGTGAAAATAAAAATTGGAGCTAGTCAAACGTAAAAAAAAAGCATAAATTCTTCTCTTTTATTTTTTGTTGTCTCAATTTTCGCCTCTTGAAAACTTCATTCACGCCACTGTTATTCTCCCTTTACACTTACTCCAATTTTTATTTTTATCAAGGTGGTTGAAGAAGATAAAGAATAATAAAACTTAAAATGGAAATTAAAGTTAACCCAAACAGCACACAATATTTACAAAATATTTATAAGATTTATTTTAAATATTTTGTAAATATTTTTTGTGGTCTCTTAGATTGCACAGATCATAAACATTTATTATAAATATGATGAAATATTTATTATGAATGTTACAGTAAATACTATGAAAATACTTAATGAGACATTATAATCCAAGTAAAAAATATTTATTAGAAATATTTATTTATATTTATTATAAATAATGCATAAAATATTTAGTCTATATTTTAATAATATTTCGAATAAAACTTTATATAAAATATGTATGAAGTATCTATATAACATTTAAAAAAATGAATATTAATAAATATTTATCATAAATATTCTGTGCTGTCTGGGAATCTACGCATTGACATTTTAATTGTATAATTTGTCTTAAATAGCAAGAAATGATACATATTTTAATGACATATATATACGTATAATAAGTACTATACAGAGAATCAAACTTGGGTCCATTTCTGCTAATGTAATTTTAATCTCGGTTTAAATTATTCTTTATCTTTTTTTAATTCTTAGAAGCAGTTTAGAGAAGAAGATAAAATTTAAGGCGGAGTAAGAATAAGAAAAAGATTTAGACGCTGATAAATTGATCAAGGATTTTCAATAAGAAACACAGATGAGACAGACCTATAAGCGCATAATATTATTTAATATTAAATAATATTTTAGGCATATTCTCAGAATATTAAATATAACATTTTAATAATATTTTACTAAAATTATATAATATTAAATAATATTCCTGAAATATTAATGGATGGTTATATGTCCACTCCTAATAATATTATATGATTATTAAAAGTAACATTTATTTAATGTTACTGTAATATCGTATAAACATTAGAAAGTATTATAACAGCATTTACTTTAATTTGTAAAACTGTTACATCTGTTCAGTATAAGTATACGTTTAAAAACTAAAAATGATTTTTGCTCTCAGTTGTAGAACTGGATATGTACTTAAAATCACATTGAAACGTTTTTTTAGCACAAGATGCAGCATAGACTGATAAGAACTTTTCGTTACTGGATTGTGAATTCAAATTGCACAAAATTAAAAATAATTAATATTTATTAATATTTTAATAATGTTTCAGGAATATTAAAATATAATACCTAGGTTTATTATATAAGTGGACATATAACCTCTATAGAATACTCCTGTAATATTAAAAAAATATTTATGATATTTTCGAAATATTATAATAACATTATTTTAATTTTTTTTTAATAATATTCATGTAACATTCTAGGAACATTTTGCGCTTATAGGGTGTTTTCCAATGTTAAACAAAGACAAAATGATCATGTGTGTTATCATTATGTATTTTACACTGTGCATGCTTTCCATTTAGTACGTGATACAAAAATCGATACAAGTGCCCTTCTATCTTTGTTATTCACTGAATGTCAAGAAAGATAAAATGGTGTTTGTGTCGACTTATCTCACTAAAATGGAAATTTAAACACCTTGCGTCTCGTGCTGGAAAGCACCACAAGTTAATTGAAGTTTGGTCGAAACATAATGACAAGTTCTCGACCGCACCGGCCTCTGATCGTTAGATGATCGTGAGTCGCGATCACGCCGACTCACGTGAAACGTGAAAAAACGATAGTGCCGAGTCGGTGAGTCGATGACGCATCCGCCCGTTTATTGCTGACATGAGATCTGTTTCGCCAGGTATACATAATCTAGCTACAGGTAGCCTGGGAAAAAAACCTGCTGACCGTTACGGGAAAAGAAAGAAGCCAAGATGTCGCAGCAACAATATTATCCGTTCAAGGTACATAATCCCCTGAAAAAATTACTAAGTGGCAAGGTCATTGCTGGTCGGCTGCGATAATTAGCAGCATCATTCTATATCCGGAACATCGATCCACTGGCGTCGATCATCCGTATTTTTAACATCAGCCTAGTTTCTAAAGCGATTCACGTTCCGCCGAAGTATGACTAATCGCGCGCAAAAGTCAAGTAGAATCTTCCTTATCATCAAATTATTAATTATGAGAATTTTGCATAAAAAGGAAAAATATAAATCTTTGGCAAAAATATAAATGCCTATCAATCACTGGAAGTTGTTAATTCATAATTTTTTTGAAGATTTATATGGATTCTTTGAATGTGTAATGTCTGAATTATAATCATCCCAAACAGCACACAATATTTATAAAATATTTATAAATATTTATAAGGCTTATTTTAAATATTTTGTAAATATTTTTGTGGTCTTAGATTGCATTGATTATAAACATTACGAAATATTTATTGTAAACCTTGTAGTAAATGCTACGGAAATACTTAACAAGACATTATAATTCAAATAAAAAATACTTAATAGAAATATTTATTTATATTATTTAAATATGATTCTTTTTGTAAATATATTTTTATAAATTATTTATATAATTGTAAATATATAAATTTTTATAAATATAAGCATGTGATTGATCAAATTTCGGCTAACTTAATTGATAATTCAAATGACCTATTATATTTTGGATGAAATTATCAATTTTTTATTGTTTTTAATGTATTACTGGAGAGAGAGAGAGAGAGAGAGAGAGAGAGAGAGAGAGAGAGCAAAAGATTAAATTAATAGTAACGACTTATAGATAAAGATTTTGTTTTAAGCTTACCCGCAGAACATAAATTAACTGTAGTAACATTACATCAATATATTAATATAATTTCCTGCTCAATAATTGTTATGTACTACTTGTGTTATATTACATTTATATTGTGAAATTAAAAATTATAATATTGATATAAAATATTGCTGTTAATTTGTTCTGTGAGAAGTAATTCCGTCGTTTGAGTTAATCAGAGCTAGTTTAATCAAAGTCGCTCTAAATGTACAGATTTGTTCAATTCTGTCGAAGATTTTGCAAAACTTAATTGTTATAATCTGACTTATTGTGTTTCAGTGCACTCCAACTGTGTATCCCGCTGAACCGTTCGATCCAAACGCGGACGCTACTATCTTGCGTAAAGCGATGAAGGGATTCGGCACGGATGAAAAGGCGATCATCGACGTGCTTACAAAGAGAGGCATTGTACAGAGACTGGAGATTGCGGAGACTTTCAAGACCATGTACGGAAAGGATTTGATCAACGATTTAAAAAGCGAGCTAACTGGGAAACTGGAGGATGTCATCGTTGCCCTTATGACCCCACTGCCACATTATTATGCCAAGGAGCTGCACGACGCGATCAGCGGTATGGGTACCGATGAGGAGGCGATTGTCGAGATTCTATGTACTCTCAGCAATTATGGTGTCCGTACGATCGCCACATTTTATGAAAATTGTAAGATTTAGCTCAATTTATTATGTATTTTTATATAAATAATTAGATTTTCTTGATTAATTAAAAAATACATTATTTTCTCTGAATAGTATATGGCAAACCGCTTGAGAATGATCTGAAGGACGATACGTCGGGCCATTTCAAGAGATTGCTGGTATCCCTCGTGCAGGGAAACAGAGACGAAAATCAGGGAATCGATCATGCCCAAGCAATTGCCGATGCCCAAGCATTATACGAAGCTGGTATGTCACGAAATTCTTTTAAGTTTTTTATTTATTTTCTACTAATTAAAAAAAAATTAAAATGTTTGTCACTTTAAATGTATTTGACGATGTGCAATATTTTAATTATTTTTAATCTTAATACAGGTGAAAAACAGTGGGGAACAGACGAATCTCAATTCAATGCGATCTTGGTATCTCGCAGCTATCAGCAGCTGCGACAAACATTTATCGAGTACGAGAAAATATCTGGGCATGACATAGAGGTTGCCATAAAGAAGGAATTTTCTGGCAGCATCGAGAAAGGCTTGCTTGGAATAGGTAAAGCTTCCAAATAAGATATAAACGCACTAATTACATATCTATTTAGATTGTCACGAGTATGCCAAATTAACATTCTTATTTATGAATCACTACAGCTATTAATTTCATAATGTAACTAGTTTAGCCTTATGTTTCATATTTCTTTATAAACAGACACGCGTACTTCAGAATTAATTGATATGATCAAAATAAACTTGCTCGGTATACATTTCTCTTTTTGTTATACTTAGCTGAAAATAATTGTGTCTTTCAGTGTGAAACACGAGCAAGTGATTGAAATAGCAGTTCAATACAAGGAAATTATATGTCCCTTGAATGCAACGGAGTATCAATAATCCCCATAGCATAGTATGATATCACGAGTCGAAATTTTCATGAATACTTGACAACCCAAATTTACGTTCGCTTTCTGCGAACTTTTATTAAACGATCGAAAAATTTTCACAGGGCAGAGGCAAGTTATCGCAGCAAGATTTTACTTAATATAGCTTTTGTTTACCTATTTATAGAAATATTCATATGATTGCTGTGATTGCCAGATAATTTTTAGAGTTGGATACACTTTTGGACACGAGTACACATAGAACCCCGATAACTTTTAGTAGCGTGAAATGTGTAGGACATCCCCTAATTTTTTAGTCTGTTCTTCTTCATTTGTATATAATAATCCAATTTTCGGATTCTTTCTAATCCAGATTAATAGTAATATTTCTGATTTTAGTATAAAAGGAAAAGATATCTCTATTATTATGTAATAATTACTAAAGAGAAACATAATTTGAGTTGGTTCATAAAATGCATGTGAAAATGGTGTGAATATCTACATATATGGTATTGACCCTGTATATGTTATATCCTCTAACAATGTTGCATGGCAACTATTACATGTAACATATAAAAATATTTGTTAGACCTTATGCATAAATGTAGTATAATCTGTATAAGATCCTGATTGATTATAAACATAGTATAACTTTATAGCATGAAGAGAGAATGCTCCCAGTCAATTTACTCGTATTTATCCCTATAGTTTTCATTAATGTTCAATTAATATACGTATTCATCTATATGTTACGAATTATCTTAATTTTTAATCGACAGTGAAATGCGTGAAGTCAAAAGTTGGATTTTTCGCTGAACGTCTATACGCCAGTATGCACGGCATAGGTACAAAAGATCGAACACTAATCCGTATCATTGTGTCTCGAAGTGAAATCGACTTGGGAGATATTAAAAAGGCATTTGAAGAACGCTACGGAAAGTCACTGGAGAGCTGGATAGCTGTATGTACTCCAAATTACATACTTCCAAAGAATTCATTCTATTATTTAAATTATATTTTGTAATAAATTACTACTATAATGAGTATATATATTACAGGGAGACACATCGGGAGATTACAAGAAGGCTCTTCTCTCCCTGGTTTCCACATAATTTTGATAAAGTTATTAAAGGTCCAAGGTACACATTTGCCTATTGATGCATAATCTATAAAAAAACAATTTTATATATGCCTGCACGGATTCCAGCTTAATATATTGCTTACTATAATGAGAAATTTAAAAAAGTACCTTGCTGCATTTTTAAATATTATTTTTGTAATACTTTTTTGAAATCTTTACTGTATTATGTAGTAGGCCAGTAAAATTTCTCGACGCTCTGCGTTTCAATCTCGTTTATATATACGTATATACAAATTATATTTAATTAAATTATATTTTATATATTATTTTTATCAAAAGATTTACATAAAGAGTCTCAATGCATAAGAACGAGAAATGATTGAGAAATCAATGAAAATAAAATCAAGAACATTCTTTATTGTTTATTTATTTCCCTGCCTTTTTCATATGAACAAAAACAATATATATATATATATATGTGCATTTGTATGTGTAAATATAAATATACTTGTAGATCACAGTTTGTAAAATAAACTAATATGTTCCAACGTAAAACATTTTTACAAAACGCATGTATATGCTCATCAAATTAGAAGAAAAAGTTCATTTATCTCTTATTAATTATTTTGTACACAATAAATTATAAATACATGTTAAATATCTATATATTATGAAACAGATTAACATCAAGAAAACTTTCTCTGCATTTCTCTTTCACTATTCGCATTTGTCACATAACAAGCATATGGTAAAAAGACAAATGAAAAATAAAAGATGCGCGATTATTCTGTTCATGTAGTTAAAATAAATTAAAAAATAATGTAACACAGAGAAAAATTCACGAATATCGTTTAAACATCGTTTAGATTTAACATGTCTATAATATGAGTATTTAACAGTATTTCGTATATATATCAAATTAAAATTATACTTTGTACGTATATCAATTTACACAATTAAATATATATTTTTTGCTTTACTTTTATAATCATTTTCCTTCTACGCTGCTTTCTCATTATTTTACACAGAAAGAAAATCATTATTTTAAGTTAATCATGCATATATTTTCAATTTAAACATGTTTAAATATAAATGCAATAAAATGGGAGAGCAGTATAAAAGGAAAAATAGTTAGTAATAGAATAAAGAATATAAAGATTTCATTGTAAAAATAAACAACCATTTTAAAAACAAGTCTCTTCAAAATAGAAATCTTTAGAAAATTATGCTGTGTTTTGTCCTTTACGTTGTATTCGTTTTTCGTAGCCGATCACTTCTTCGGGGAGATACAGGAACTAAAAACGAGAAGTCTGATTCAGAATTTTAAATATATTCCATATTTTAAACATATACAAAACTAGTACCGGAAATAAAATAATACTTTTATTATCCGAAAGAATAGACCGAATAGACTTTAGACGTTATCCACGCTCGGATAATCATAGTTGGAAAATTAAAAAAAAATCTTTTCGTGTACTTCGAGAACTTCATACGTACATTTATTTTAAAAAATTATACAAAAATATGGACAAATTATACACTGTACAATTATAATATACAATTGAGAAGAATCTTAGTAAGTAAACAATTAATCTGCAAATTGATAGCAAATTTCAACAGAAATTGCAGCAGATTAATATTTGAACACAGGTTCTATTTTATTTTTGTCACCAAAACTGGCGTATACTTGCTGTAGACTTACAGTTGTTTCATTACGGCTGTTATTTTTCTTTGATAAAATTTGTTATACTTTTACCATCATTCTATCGATTCTATGACATATTTTGTATGACAAATTTTCGATTAAATTTATAATTTTCTCTCGATAAAATTTGTCAAACACTTTACAAAATTTTTTTCAATAGATTTGTCTATTAGGAATAATATATAATAATTAATATAGATAATAGTTCCCTTTTCAAACTTTCCGCTTGTTTTTTTTTAAGTTGTTGCCATGTTTAAATTTGATTTCATTAATTTTATATCTCACTCCAATTATTTTGTGTATATCCCTTCTAATGCTACAAACATACAATTTTGACAATGATACATTTTCGTAAAGAAAAATATGGCTAAAATATTCTTTTAAAGATCCTGACACAGTTTAAGTTTTTTTTCCAGAATTCTTTATATATGTAAATTCTGAGATATTTTAAGATTTCTTAAAAAAAGATCTCTAAAACTTCTAAAATTTTAAAAAGTTGAAAATTTTTTTTTACAAGTTCAGAACCGAGTTTGATATGAAAATATAAATTACATGTAATCTTATAGTTTTTGAGTTAAATATGATGTATCAATTTTATAACTATAAGATTATGTGAGTAATTTATGTTACACTATGTCGAAATCGGCTTATTTTACTCATCGTCCTCCAACATATAAAAATTCTTATGAATTTGTTTTTTTTATAATTCTAAAAATATTATTAGGTGCTATGAGAATATTTTTCATCGAAATGGAAAATAATATATAAAAGAAATGGAGAATAATGAAGCATATAAATATTGTTAACTAACAATTCAACATAGTTAAAATAAGAAGTAAATATTGACAAAAACAGTTCGGATCTTGATTTTGATATTTATGTTGTTAAGAGTACTTTCTTAAGTAATCTCCAGAAATGAAGTTTTGATCGTCATTCATTATTCGTTAAAAAATTATTCATAATTAAAGGTTAAAAATTGGTAAAAAATAAAGAAGGTAAAGCTGTAATGAACTCACGTTAACTACGCGGAATAAATAGATTATATTGAAAAGATATTTAATGTTTATAACAAACTATAAATCTCATTTCGCATTGTAAGCAGGAAACGGTGTTTTAGAGGTATTGACTTTACGTAGAAAGTTGAAAACTCATGTGAAACTGTTATGTACTTCAATATAATATAAAATATTTAAAAAATCATGTAAGTTTGTAATTTTGCAAAGTGCATGCTTGGAAGGACGAAAGGAATCTGCGTATTCACTTAAATATAAAAATGCAAATAATACGATATTTATATTAGGTAAAATTCAAATTATAGAGTTAAAACACACCTTTATATTAATCAATTTTATTTATTAATAAGGTCTTAATATATAAACATTGAGCGACGTATAAAATCTTTTGATTGCTATTCAGGACAGTGCCCTAGGACAACATATATGGTCTGTTCAAGAACAAAATTATCGGAGTTGGGTCCATTTTTGTCAATATTTACCGTTTCTCTTTCAAGTGATAGATTTCAGTTTAAAATATTAAAAGATTAAAAGAATCATTAACCTTGATTGTTAATGCCACTAGCGTTTTTTCTCGGACGTCCTCTAGGCCGGTCTGAGCCAGCCCTAATGTATTTGAATTTTTGATACATAATTGGATAAAACATCGCAGGCATTCTCTGAAAACACCTAAGCGATGGTGTTGACATCATATTGTCTATGGGTGGCCATGGTGTGTTGGGTATTGTTTGAAACTCGGTCTGGCAAACCCAATGTAAATCAAAGGCATTTTTCCTGAAAAGTATTTCCGAACATATATTTCTTTGATAGTGAAATCTATATGTTCTGATATCTAAGCAGATACATCTTATCGCTCATAATTATTCGAATGACAAATATTTTATATATACTTTGCTCTAATTTTAAAAGCTAAATGTCTCATATTGTTAATATAGATAATACTTTATTTGAATAATTGACGTTGTTTTTGTAGTAGATTGATTGTAATTGTATTTATTTTAAATTTAAATTACTGAGACAACGTTAATTGCGAACTATCTCTAATTAAAAAATTAAATTTAAAGGGGCTAATTAGGAGTCAGCACGGTAAGAAGTGCGCAAATTTATACTCGTAAACATATTTAATAGTATAGAATATATTTTTAATTATTAATTTGAACCTGAACGTTTCGACCATAGCTTTTGGCCATCTTCAGCAGAATACATACTTTGATAGAATCAAATATTCGTCGCAATACATCAGTTGACAAATTTACAGATCTTCTTATCGTTGATACTTTATATCATTGTCATACTTCTTGATACTGAAGATGGCCAAAAGCTATGGTCGAAACGTTCAGGTTCAAATTAATAATTAAAAATATATTCTATACTATTAAATATGTTTACGAGTATAAATTTGCGCACTTCTTACCGCGCTGACTCCTAATTAGTCCCTTTAAATTTAATTTTTTAATCGTAAGGAATCCATTATTATATATAGTTTTTTTATCTCTAATTAATCTTAAATTGATATCATGTTGAATATTTCCCATCATTTCGCTTTTCCACTATAATTTTAGAAGGCACTCATAATTACGATAGATTGTAGTAGAAAAACGAAATGATATTCAATATATCTATTCAAGAATAATTTTTTTATAATTCGATAAATGTTATCTTAATAATTTAAATTTAGAATACATACAATTACAACCAATATATCACAAAAACAACGTCAATTGTACTAAAACGTCAATTATAACAAAGTATTATTTGTGTTAGCAATATAGAACACTTACTTAGCTTTTAAAATCGAGATATAGCATAAAATATCTGTCGTTCGAATAATTATGACCGGTTGTATACATTCTTTTAACAGTTTAGAGTTATGTTCATTTCATTTACCTTTGTTCGATTGTATTTTCGTAAACATAAGCAAACGGTCCATTTTGTGGGATATGCCTCATAATATATCGGCCAGGAGTCAAGGATGATAATCTTTCGATTATATTATACAAAATATTTAGAGAATCTTCTACCTTAATGTTATAGAGTCGTTTTATCTCATTGCTCAATGATACTGTTGTATGTCTTTCTATTTGTATTATTTCTGAAGTACTAGTTTCTATCCTAACTGTAGTGATACAAAAAATATATATAGTCATGTGAGTAGTTCCATGTAAGAAGTGATGAATTAGTCGACAAGAGTTTCAGATATGATCTCAATTCTCATCTCTTATATATTTTATATGATTTATAAGAAGCTAATTAAATAATTAAATTAGGTAAAAGTATTATATAGTATAAGGGTAATATGAGATTGTGATCCATTTTGAGAACAATGAATCAATACATACATATATACATAATATAATCATTATAATTATAAAATAATACCTCTAGCTAATGATGTGTTTGGTCTAAATTTTAATGACGCCCACTGATGCAAGCTTTCCTCTAATGTTACAGCTTCAGCTCCGAATTCTAGCTGATGCTCCATCTTTGGTGATAATATTAAAGGCTGACATTTGTTGTTTGATAACATCTAGCAAAGACAGGTTTCATATTACATAATTTAATACTGACTATTAATATAAGTATGAGAAATATTCTTACCTCAACGCCATCCGTTTTTGTACGAACCAACATTTGGTAGACCTTTACTCCGTGTTTTATTCGTTCATGTTCTAGAAGATCCGTTTGTCCTATTTCGAAAAGATTATATGAAACATTTTTTTTATTTATTTTAGAATCAGTTTTGTCACTTGCTGAATCTAATTTCTCCGATTTATCTGTATCTGATAAACACAAATCTTGGTCAAAGATGTTAAGATAATAATTAGATAAATCATTATCGTCACTATTCGAGTCTGAATGATTTGCAGCCTTCTCGAGTTTGTCTTCTATCATATGTTTCGTTCTAAAATATTTGTCATAATATATACATAACAAATTCAATTTTTATATATTACGCTTTATGATTTATGCTTTATACTCACTTTTTTGATGATTCACTTTTAACATAATAGTACCTAAGGATATACTTATATATCCAAGAATTCTTTTGTGGTACAGTGGCAATGGTAGGTGGTAATCTTTTATCGACGTAAACAATATTCTTTCCACAATGTGATTTCACAACCACTGGTACAAGCCATGAGTCAGAATGATCCGAATCTATGTTGCTCAATAGACACTTGAGGCCACTAGATGAGATAACAATATCTGCTCCAGCTTCCATTGCAAGATTCTCGCAATATGTATCCTCGCTCACGGGTAATCTGAAATGTTGCGTCACTTTGTCAGGTTCGACGCACGGAGGATATTTTGCTAGCAATGATGCAGACTGCATGAACAACATTTGTTGATGATCGAGTTTCGGCAATATCACCTTTGAAAAGGATCCCTGAAAATGATAAAATAATATACATATTCAAATTAAATACATCAGGTAAATATCGATAACTTACCTGTTGCAAACAAGACGAGATCGTTACTTTAATATCTTGATTTTTTAAATTAGTCCTTTGTACAGAAAGTGGTATGCTTATAGATTCGACATAATATCTCGGTAACTTTTTAAACCTCTGCATTTTTGTGTTCCATTTTGATACCACAAATTCATTACATTTGATTTTCCAGTTAAAAGCATCATTCCATTGACTCTTTGCAAAATCTAGAAACTCCTTCTGTTCTTCAGATATTACCTTTTGCAATGCCTGGAAGAAGTTAATTTTAATTTCAATAATAAATCAGAAGTTTATTAAATTATTCATAAATAAAAGTAAATTTAAATTGTTTTTCTTGTTCTTTTTTGTCTTGCTTACTCTTACAAAATAAAAAATATTGAACTGGATATCAAAAAATATAACATTTTAAAATGCTTGATGTCTATTCACCATGTATTGCTCAAACTCTTTTCTCTCTTCATCGGACATGCTCTTTTTTTCATTGTCAGACAATCTTAATAAAACACGAAGGCACATAGCTTGCTGAGCCTTGTCCAAACGAGACTTTCTAGGAAAGCCAAACGATAATTTTCTTATGCCAGGTACATAAGATCTCTCTTGTTCTTGCATACGAGAGTTATCCTCATTCTTGGCTTCTTGCTGGTTGATTTCTAACTGGTTATCATCTTCCGAATCGGTCAAAACCTCGCCATCCTCGCGGAGATATTTTTTAACCAGTTCTATATCAACGTTAGCATACTCGTTTTCAATATCTTCAAGTGGATCTGTGAAGTTACCAGTCAAAATTTTATACATTGCGCTCTCCCGCTCCATTCTCTCATCCCTGATGAATACATTGTCTATCAAATCTTCCAACGGAGGATGCCTACAATAAGGTAACAATATCACAATCAAGTATAACATATAATAATATACAGGAAAATTTACGTTATATACAAATAAATATTAACCTTTAGTACACGTAATGGATCGTTCGTGCTTTGAGTTAAATTTACAAGTATAATTGATTCTTACATCACTTTAACATCTTAAGAAAGATTTATAAAATTATATATTTAAAAAAAGGGATCAATAAAGACTATTATTTACCCAAGTGCTCTTAGTATTTCAAAGAAAAGAAATGCGCAAAACACAAATGACTTAATTGTATGTACTAAGAATTAAATGTGAAGGGCTTGCTGCAATAATGGATTAATTAACATATTTTACAAATGGAGCTTTTAAAATGAACTTTCAAAATAAAGAAGTGAGAAAGATACCAATCACATCACTTTAAAGTTCATTTACAAAATATGAGTTAGCCCATCGTTACAGTAAATCCTTCAAATGTAAACCAAAAATTTAATACAAATCTTTCTATAAATTATAAAATATAGAATCTATCGTGTCAAACAGTCTAAATGTGTTATATATCCATGGATCATTCAATAAACGTGAAAAAGAATTGTACTCAAATCGTACTAATTGTATATAAACAGAAATTACAAAATCTACTTCCAATTTTGATATATAAATTTATGCTTCGAATTTACGCTTAAAATTATTTCATGAAATCGCTCACATACCAGTCGAGATTCCGAAACCTCTCCATGTTCAAACAATATTGTTTTTACAGTAATAAACACGAATGTCACGAACAGAACATTAGATATGAGTTCCTCTCGACGAGAGGACCGAGAAAAACAGAGAAGACTGAAGTTTTAGTAGAAAGGTTTCTCGTGCACACTCTTTTTATTTGCTCTAAGTGCAAAGCAGTTCGTTTTTACACGTTTTTTTCCACTCGATTTTTTGGAGTCTTCTTTCTTTCCTCTCTTTCTTCTCGACACGTGGTATGTTGTATATCCATTTTACTTCAAGTGCAGAAAATGTGACACAGCGAGGGCACAAAAAACAGAACGTTTATAAAAGAGTGCATGCAACATTGCACTTACACCATCTGCACGTCAAAACTTATCTGTCAGCTGACTTAAACGATAATATATTTATTCTAAAATATCTCTGTTTATTTTATTACATAGCTGAATCACATGAACTGTTTTGCTTGAAAATTGATGATTTAAAATCGCCGGAAGTTATCTCTTGTTTCACAAGGTCGGTGGAGTTACGTCAAAACGCGGCTGAAACAACCTTTTCGGCAGAATGAATTTCGGAAGGGTGGCTAATGTTAATGTTTTTCGCAAAATTCGACAGCTTGGTAAGTCTCGCACAAGTTTTCCATAATTTCCATAATTTTTCATAATTACGCTTGCTTCGTTTCGCGAGCTGAGTAGAATTTTCCGTACCTAACCTGAAAGTATCATTTACATAATCTTTCAATCAGAAAACATCATGCACTAAGGTTCTTTGAGTATCTAATAAAGTTTCTTACATTATTTGATATTTTGTTTATTATTTACTTAATATTTTTATATCATTATTTTATTAATTATTGAATAAATTGGAAATTATGGAAATCAACGATTCGGTTACAGAAACATTGATCAAGCCTGGTGGTTTACTTGTGCGAAGCTGTAATCCAACGCAGTTTCCCAAATCCACGTCGAGCCTCGCAAATCTGAACCGTTCTGTGATTCCTAACGCGAGTAATTATCCAAAATGCAGTATTCTGTCCAAGGTTGGTAGTTCTAGAATTTTTATTCTGATTTTATTTCTATTATCTATTCTTATATTTAAAAAAAAAAAATAAGAATAGGTGTGTATGCTACAAGATATATTTTATTTTGTCAAATCTTTTCCAGCTGTCTGCACAATCAACAGTCAGCATGACCCAAACTCGTGCAACAAGCGCTCAAGGCGATCATGTGCGCTTGTGGCTGATAGAGAGAATAGTGTCTGCATCCTTTCTGTCACTAATACCCGCCGCCTTAGTTTTAGAAAATAAATTTATCGATATAGTACTGGCAGCTGCTATTGTCATGCACACACATTGGTAATTGATATTCTTTGATAGTTATCTTCTTTTTTAGTTTTTTTATAAATTTCTATTATGTAGAAAATATGTTTGAAAGAATAATTTTGTTACACAGGGGATTGGAAGCTATCATTGTTGATTACGTACGACCCATTGTGGTAGGTACATTGGTTCCAAAAGTGGCGTTTCTTATGCTGAATCTACTCTCTGTTGCTACTCTCGCTGGTCTGTTCGTGCTGATTTATAATGGCCCTGGTCTTACAAAAACTATTAAAAATGGCTGGGCAATAGGTAAAGATAGATAGAAACCCGGTTAATATTACTACAGCAGAAATAATTTCATTACATATATAAATAACTTTTTAAGATAGTAGCTCATAAATTATTCCGAAATAAATTATTTACTAATTTAGCAACTTGCTTTCTCCCTTATGCTACCTAACTTTTCATATGTGATTTGCAAGTTGAATGACAGTGGAATATAAAGGATTGTTATTTATAATATGTATACATTGTGAGTTGAAAACAGAAAGATATAATTAATGTTATTTATACTACAAATCAATAACAGAATATTTTTTTCATTATTGTCAACACGCACATAAATGTACAACAGATGGAGCTCTGGAGATTAATAGGTAAATCAAATGAGACTTAATTGCCAGTAGGGGCAGCGACCTTGTCTATGAAGGTCGCCAGTTTCACATCTCTCTGCGACAATCCATTCACGTCGTGAGACGACAGAGTAATATTTACTTTATTGTAAACATTGAACCATTCGGGATGGTGGTCCATTTTTTCAGCCTGTAAAGCTACTCTTGACATAAATCCAAAGGCCTAAAAATTGAAACGTAATGTCAGATAACTGAACCACAAGGTCATAATAATTGTAAACAGCAATATTCATGTAACATACCTCATTGAAGTTTTTGAATACAAACTCCTTATAGATTGCATCCCTCTTTGCTTGGACAGTCCATCCCGTCGATAGCAACGGGCTCAAGTTTTGTTCTCTTTCTTCCGGAGATAATTTACTCTGACAAGGATCAACAATTTCCATAAATTATCATAATTTATTTTTTTATATAATTATAATCAAACATGATTTGACCAGTATCTTTTTGTTCATTATTTGTAATGTGGTAGTGCCTTATATAATTTTTATCAATATCTTATTTAACATCACTCGGAATATATGCAAATGTGACAAGATTTGTGTAACAAGCAGTAACAAGTGGCTGGCCGTCATATCACTTTCACTACGAAGGACTCGCCCAACAGGTGGATTTGTACGTCTTAATTACTCAATCGGAATTCTTTTTAATCTGAACAATCTGCGAAGTCGTCGACAAATTCAAGGACTTACCATCTTGGTTTTTCTCGAGACAGCGGCGGATAAATCTCTGCGATCCAGAATGCGCGATATACACTTTCGAACGTGATCCCCTCCACTCCCTTGCCTGGTCAATACAGCTATCATGTTATGTTGAAAACTCGTTCTCTATGTATAGTTTTAAGATACTGGATTTCTTGCCGATATCGCAATTGTGCAACGGACGCGATAAACGGCTTTTTTCGGTGGGAGTTAGGACGGACGAATTAATTTCTAATATAACATAACCTCTTGTTTAGCTCCATATTAAGATCAAGGACGAATATTGATACATACTTGATACAAATAAATGCTTATACAGATAATTTTGAAAAATAAAGAAATCACTTCTCGAATATTATTATTCGAATAAGATATTTTTATAATAAAAATATTTATATTCATATTTTTATAAAAATTTGAATTAAAATATTTTGTTTATTTAACTTTCTTTGACAAAAGTGTTTATATATATTTGTATACAAAAAAATAGTTTTTTTACTCTATCGATATATCTAAGAAAATGTTTAAAACATTTATATTTTGGAGTAAGATATAATTTATGTTTAGACATGAGCATATAGTCAGGATTTTGTTTAGGCAGAAGCGAGAAAATTAGAGTTAGAACTTTTAAACTCGAGGGGGAAAGTGGTAGTCTAATGGTGTGGACTTGTTTTGTTCTATATTATTTTTAATTAATTTCTGGCAGATAAATCTCAAATCAATTTACTTAATTTTTCTCTTAAAATTGTATATTGATTTTTCGAACTGGAAAAACTTACTACCCGTTATATGTTTTTAGAAAATTTTCCTTAACTTTTATCTTAAATTCTTTCTTCTTTTTAAAAATTAATTTGTTGAATAATTAAGTAAATATAGCCCGTTTAAGCGATTTTAATTATTTTTATTCTTTAAAACTTAGTAATCCTCCCCTTAGCTATGTATGTGTTTGGAATATGTAAGATATAGTTTGATATAAGTTATAATTTATGTATCTTTTTATCTATAAAGGTCAAAGAGAATTCGTATCGACATGAGAGTGTAAAGACAGATATATATGTTTCATACATCTTGTGAGACGCCAACATTTTATAATATTTAATAAACTGTTTAAAAACATATACAAAATTTTTTTCTTTTCAATTTTTCAGAAGATATTTTAGAAGAAAAGTTTCAGAAAAAGTTTGGCAATGTTAAAAAAATTAATTTATAGTGACAAACATATTAAAATTATTTATAATTTAATGAAATCACTGATTGGATCTCGCTGATTTTTTTCCTTTTTTAATAAGAGACATTGGTGGTGGCATCGGAACTTTAAGCAGGATGATTTTCTTATTCTCTTTAGAGGACACCGCCCCGATAAGTCTCGTGAGACCCATTAACTTTTTTAGACTCGTTCGTTTTTTAAACATAAGTCGGAACATTTCCAAATCCAGTGTGAAATTTGATATCGTCAATGCGAGAATCAAGCTGTGTACGAGGCCTTTGTCTGTCATAAAGTTCGGCCTCGTCCTGTAAAAAAGATTTTGTTGAAGTTTTGTCCCTGATTAATATAAGTGATGCTCAACTCACCGTCCATTTGGACCGGACACGCTGTACATGTCGATGATATGCTGATTCACCTCTCCGGAAATCGAGCACACAACAATGTCGCGTTTCCTCATCATTTTCGTAGCAAACCATTGGTTGATCATTTCAATATAAAGCAAAAGGGCGACTTTGTTCACTTTGTCCGAATCCGATTGTATAATTCTTAAACTGTGTTTGAAAAATTCTGCTTTCCTATGTGAACAAAGAAACATACATACAATGCCTGTATAATTAAGATACATAAAATTTTAATACTGGTAAAGAATATTGTTAAGTACTCTTTCATGTCTTCGTCGGTAATCTTCATTGCATGCTCATATAACATTTCCAATTTATTCCTAGGAATAATATCGTATACATTGTATATATCTTTGACATTACTGGCATAAATAGTATTGCATTTAAGCAGTCATCATCTGGTAATTGATTCGATAAATCTAGCCTGTTGATTTCAATATCTGCCAAAAGACAACTCGGTGAGTTTTTACACACAATAAATATTGACATACTATCATTAAGATTTAAATCATAGTAATTAGATATTATTTGAGAAATTAATTATATAACATGAAGGAAAAAAAGAACTCTCTTACTTGCTACTGTTTGCTCAAGTTGTTCCTTAACATTCTCGACATTAATTTTTAGCCTCTCAAATTGCTCTGTTCTACGTTTGATTTTCTTAGACCCAAATTGTTTATTCAGTACCGTAATCTTATGGTCTATGTCATTGTTGTTGTCCTCATCGTCAAGCTTTTCGAGTACTGGTGCTACTTCCCATCGCTCAGCTTCAAATAATCGTACTTTGCCAGTCCTCTTATTATGGAGTACCAGCATTGTCCGGGTCGATTCTTTCTTACAATCTGGCCTATAACCTTTGTAAACAATGTGTCCATTTGACAAGGCTAATACAGTTTTGTTGTCTTTTTGCTCACGATACAAGCCACATGATATCTCCTTGACTTCTTCATCCTTAAGCTCACCATTTTGGAAATTTACTGTATAACAAATTTATGAATTAAGATTAAGCTTAAATTAATAAAAATAATAATTATTGGATAAAAACAATTATGTATAATAAACAATTGGGATAATAATGTAATAACTGAACTTGTCGCAAAAGACATAGAAAATATATGTTAATATATAATTTTTTAAATACATAAATAAGATATTTTATATTTGAATATGAATAATATTACAGTATAGGTAGTATATAATAACGTGAAAAATCGTTTCTTACCAATAATTGGCTGAATTTTGTTTGATTGCACAATTACATCTTCGATAATCGCGAGTTGCTTCATTTTTCATTTATTCATTCATTCATATATTTTAGCGAATAACTATATTATTAACACCAGTACCTCGTTTTGTATAATATATTAATGTTATTAACTTGTCTATTTAAATTTAAAATGTTGCTTTTCGTGCGACCTATAGGTTAGAATCACACTGATAAAACAACATGCGCTGTTTACATCGCACGCAACGCGTTTAGTGCGCAGCTTTCTAAGGTGAATTCAGGGAGACGCTATTAGCGCTATTGTGTCATTCTATCCTTGTTTTACGTTTAATAAACAACGAAGATAGAATGGGTGCATTCAGTACTACAGCCGCTCACTGAGCGCTCAGTGAGCGCTTGCATCTTATTGGTATATTCCGTTAGAACTAAAAATATAGACCAAACAGATACAAGAGCTCACTGAGCGCTCAGTGAGCGGTCGTGGTACTGAATGCACTCAATGACAAAAATAGCGTTATTAGCGTCTCCCCGAACGCACCACTAATAGTATTTTTCTAGAATTTCGTATACGTTTCTTTTCAAGAATAGGGGCCCTGGTTTGTATGGCTACGTTTACACCGTGCGCTTAGTTCGCGACCTATACGATAGGTGTCTTTGTTTAATATACAGGATAAACAAGGACATCTATTGTATAGGCCGCGACCTAAATACACGGTGTAAACGTAGCCTATGCCACGAATATACGACCAATTAGAAAACTGCGCACTAAACGCGTTGCGTGCGATGTAAACAGCGCATGTTGTGTTATCACATTGTGATCCTAACCTATAAGTCGCACGAAAAGCAACATTTTAAATTTAAATAGATAAGTTAATAACATTAACGTAACGTATACTATAGTATTTTTCTAGAATTTCGTATACGTTTCTTTTCAAGAATAGAGACCCGACTCTTTTAAAAATCGTGACAATTATAAATTAGGGATACATTCCAAAACGTCCCCTCTGAGGAAAATTTTACTCGAAATATACATATAGTACGTAACATATACTATAGTATATAGAGTAAAATCTTCCTCGGAGAGGACGTTTTGGAATGTAGCCTAGAGAGAGAGAATTAGAGAAACGTAAAATTATTTAAAACCATAAGATAAAAAGTTATAATTTAAAATGTAAACTAAAAAGTAATATGTAAAATTTTAGGCAAGAGATAACAAATGGAAAATCTGATTAGTTACGCCACATTGTTGCTAAATTTTGAAATAAAATATGATTTATTTTAGTCAATAGTTTTTTTACTCATTAAAAAATTTAAATGCAAAAAATAACAAGTGCGGGAATCTTAGAGCGACCCCAAGCAGCACAGCAGCGCTTGCAAAGCGCTAAAAAAGCGGTTATATGCGCTTCTTTAGCGTTTTATTAACGCTTTATAAGCGCTGTGTGCTACTTGGGACTTTAATGAAATTCAAATTAACTTTATCAGCGATTAATTCACGGAATTGTTTAAAGCAAAATTTCTAACTATATAATTCGTTTCCTAATTTAATTTCTCTTTCCTATATATTTTAAATAAGAAAAAATAAATAAGTCTATCTGTATTAAAATATATATTATATTAATAAATCAAATAAAGAGCGCTAAATATGATTCCAGCTAGATCTTATTTTTATGTAAATTTTTCCCCATTTCTACTAATGTAGATTAATCTTGATTTAATTTACTTATCATCTTGTTTTGGTTCTAAGAATTAGAAAAGGATGAAAACTAAATTAAACCGAGATTAAAGTAAATCTACATTGGTAGAAATGAACCCGGTTCCACTAATGTAGATTAATTTTAATCTCGATTTACCTTACCGTTTATCTTTTTCTAATTCTAAAGTTAATCTTACATTGGCGGAATCATACCTAATATAGATATTATTTAATAAGTGTATATATAGGGTGTTTCACAACTATCGCACTTCCTCTTAAGGACATATTCTTGAGGTAATTTTGAGAAAATCCTAATACGAAAATGTCGACACTACAATAATTTTTTGAATTATAAGCTAACTTAAATGCTTATAAGTAAAAAACCATTTTACTTTTATATCCTCTATTATTATTTCTGGATTCTTTTGAACATACCAAGACGAAAATTTTAATACGAAAATATCGAGACTATAATAGTTTCTGAATTACACACTATCTTTAACTAATTATAATTCAAAAACTATTGTAGCCTCGACATTTTTGTATTAGGATTTTCATTTATCTCAAGAATATGTTCTTGAGGTAATTTTAAGACGAAAATTTTTTCAAGAGGAAATTCGGTAGTGTGAGATATCCTGTATATGTGTATATATATATATATATATGTGTGTGTATTGTATAATATTTATAATTGAAATCGATTTCAGAATTTGGCTAAAGTCACCGTCATGACTTCCGAATTCAGATAAAGTCATCATTATTACTTCTCAATTACTTTAGTATTTTCATCTTGCGTCTATCAAAATTTTATTTGAAAATAAAAATATTATTTTATATTCAAATAGTTTTACAAATAGTAATTAGTAAAAAGTGAAAAAATTATTCTACGTGAATATCTGATTATAACAATCGATGACAATTCTTGATATATGATCATTCAAGTTTAGAAATTAATAATATAGGACAAATAAATTTAAAAAATATTTTATTATATACAATATACTACTCGTAACATGTTAATCTCTATATCGTCTTAAATATTCTCGAATATATACAGCTTTCCTAATATCTCGTTATTTCATACATAATTATATCATGAATAATATATGCAATCTTAATTTCTATTAGTATATTCATAAAATTTACCTTACATTTGATGTAAACATAAAAGATACATATAAGAAAATATTAAAATATTTAAGTTTTTTTTTACAAAATTTTAATGGGACTTAAAGAGTGTAAGATAATACTTACTTTCTGTGTTAATTAATAGTTCTAATATTATATTATCACTACTCGTCTATTGTGGAAAAAATTTTATATGTAAAGAAAATATCGAAATAAAAGAATATAAAGGAAAAATATATAATTGAATATCGTTGTCATAAAGTTTCAAACATAAATTAAAAATAAGAAAAACTTAAACTCGTTAATTTGTGCTTTGAATATTTTCAGGTCTTTTGGAATTTTGAAGTATAGGTAACAATCCATTTTCTATATTATTCAATTACTAAGTCATATTCTTCGATTTCCTGGAATGTAGTGTTAACTGTTTTTATCCATTCGTTAATTTTTTTCTCATGTTCTTTCTCTGATTTTGTAAGTTTCTTCTTCTTTGGTTGTAATTTGACATTTTCTTCTTCAATGCTATCTTCCGAAAAATCGAACTTTACGGCACGTTTTCTCCTGTATGAATGTTGGGGTGGCTGTAACATTTTAAAGGAAAATAAGTTAAGAATATAAGTTATATTTTATATATATATATATAAAACAAAATAATAAACAAAAAAGAGCAAATCAACCAGGATGTTCTCATCGCGAAAATCATATATTTAAAATATTGCTCATTAACAATATAAAAACATAAATGTTTGACGATGGTCAAATCATGGCTGAAATGTTTATGTTTTTATATTGTTAACGAGTAATATTTTAAATATATAATATATATTTTTCAGAATAAATTAATTTAGTTTTTTAGCACATTAACATCTTTCTAATATGATGCTTGATTGAGTATCAAATTAAGAATTGCTTGTCAATTTAATTTAATTCGTGATATTATTACAGTAGTTTAATTGCGTTTATAAGTCTGGAAAACCAATTCAGCGCGCAGTTTGAATGACTACAAATATGGTAATATGTATGTACATTTATAGTATGTATGTATGTATGTATGTATATATATATATATATAATCCACAATGAATTATTTAAGCATTAAAGATCCAGCTTCAACTGGTATAGATTTCTAGTTTATTTGATTGTCTTCTCACATGTACTGTTTAAAATAATTTTTAGATCCGATTGCACTAACATTACTTTGATTTCAAGCAAAACTTCAAACTCTGTCTTGTTTTAAAGCGAAATAGAGAGAGAGAGAGAGAGAGAGAGAGAGAGAGAGAATTTTAAGCCTTGCTTAAAGTCAAAGTAACGTTGGTGCAATCGGACCTTATTGTTAAATGTATAACTTTTGTGATGAACATCCTGGTTGTTTTGCTTTTTTTATTTATTGTTTATTATTAGTAATGTTTTGACTACTTATTTTCGAAAAAAGAATATTAATAAATACCTTCGCAAAATGTGAAGGTTCTAAATCCATAAACAAGGGAACGTCATTTCCAACATTTGACGTTTTTTCACTTTCAGATAACATATCAAATGTGTCGGAAAAATCGATAAAATCTACAATTTTTTTTTTCTTTTGCTCTACAAGCGACTTATTAACTTCAGTATGCTCTATTGTAACAGTAGGCTCTACTGTTTGTTTGTTATCACTATTAACATTATTATTAAGTAACACATTCTTTATTTCTCCCAAGGATATTCTGGCAGGTGCTGGTGGTACAACAGCCTTCTTTGCAACTGTCGCTCGAAGTTTCTGTGGAATCTGATTCTCTGAAATTGGAAGTTTCTTCTGAATTGCGTGCTTTTTGCGAGGACTGACAGATTTCTTTCTTCTTTCCTTGTCTCTTCGGCCTATATTTTTCTTATTCATATCTATATTTTCTTTATCTATTTCCATGTTCTCCTTATTTGATTCCATGTTCTTATTTGGTTCCATGTTCTTCTTACTTGTTTCCATGCTCTTTTTCTTTATTTCTTTATTTCTTTTCTTTGTTTCAAATGTTTGTGTTTCATTATATGGTGTACTTTGAATAAAGTGTTTAGTTGTAGAAAACATTGATATTGGAGGTCGCCAGGGACTTCCAAAATCAAAAGTACTTGTCGTCTTTTGGATGGGGGATAAAGTTTTCATCAATACGGTAGATCTTAACGTGCTGTCATGACCCTTTGATAAGGTTTTATTATTAAATATATTCTTTGGCCGAAAGGGCTGCACGTCTTCAGTTTTGTTAGGTGGAGATGTAATGACTATAGTATTTTCCTTTCTATCTTGTTCTTTCGCAATATTCTTGTTTACTGATTCTTTCAGTGTCTGAATATCTTTATTCGTTTCAATTTTCTTCAAGTTATTTTTCTTTGTTGATGTTGTAGCCACTACAAATTCTACAGAAGAATCAATCTGTACAATCTCCACAGGATTTGCATCAATCTTAGGTTCAATTATCTTACGACTTCTTTTGGCAGTAACTTTCTGACGTGTTATTCTCTCGGTTGTTTTGCCTTTCTCTTTGTTAACATTTCTTCTCCTCGGTTTCTTTTTAGGAGCTTTTTCTTTAGTGTCATTTAAGTCAAACTTAAAATCATATACATCCTCCTTGTCTTCTGAGGATTTCTCAGAAGGTTCTTCAGCTTTTCTGGGTTCAATTTTTTTTTCAGATGCAGGCTTGACAGACATTTCACGAGCTTTCTGTCGAGTAATACGCTGGCAGACTGCAGCTGGAGCCTTTGTGCTTTGATTTCTACGCATCTAGAAATATATTTTATATGTAGATTTATTTTAGACATCAATAAAAATATCAAAAATATGGAGAAATTATAGAAGTTACTTTTAGTGCATTTGTAAACTTACCTTGATTATGAATGAAGCAGGAAACGTTATGTGACTATTGAAACTGCAATCAATGAGTAACTAATCGTAAAAACTAACGGATGCCTGCTGTATTAGTTACCACACTGAACATAACACGTGACAGATAATAACGTGATATCGCATAAATCTGCATTGCACAATTGCTCTTGAAGCTAAAATTACAAACTTTTTTCTTCTTTTTCTCTGATTACCTATTTGGATCTTCAACCTACTATAAAAATTGCAAACTTTCAAACCACAACGTAACGTTGTTATTGCGTGACAACGGAAAACGTCGTAAAATGGCGAAATTTGGTGACAGGATTGCCAACTATTGTCAACCTAACACATTCGGCAGACATACCAATCGGCAGCGTGATCGACTAGTCTGTTCATTTTAATTGTATTTTATAACATTATCCATTCGAAACGAATTTATACATATAATAAAAACATGAATTAAATTTATAAAAATCCATATATATGCTCCAACATACTTCAATACGCTCCTATTATAGTTCCTGTTCACTCCAATGCATTCGTAGTCAGAAGTAACATTTAGGTCGCGTTCACACCTTGACGGAAAAGCAGAAAGCGAAAAAGCAGCCAATCAAAACTCACACTGGTCGGCAATTTCGGCTTTTTGTACTACTTACTACCAGCGCGAGTTGTGATTGGCCACTGCTTTTCCGCTTTCTGCTTTTCCGTCAAGATGTGAACGCGCCTTTAAAGGTGCATTCACATGCAAGCGTCAAGCATCGAGCAGCGGAAGCAGCAACCAATTAACGAGGCGATTTTTACAGTGGCGTAAAAAATATTTTTTACATCACTACCCGTACTTATCGCCCAGCTGATTGGTTGCTGCTTCCGTTGCTTGACCCTTGCATGTGAATGCACCTTAAGATATCGTGAACCAATCAGAGAGCCGCATTAACAAAATACTATAATGCGGGGTCTACAATAGAAGTCGTAGAGGTCGTAGGGTCTTAAGTCGTAGAAAATTGACCAATCACAGTCGGATATAAGAAGAATAATCAACTGTGATTGGTCAATTTTTTACGACTTAAGACCCTACGACCACTATGACTTCTATTGTAGACCCCGCATTACATGAGTGCGGAAACACGGAAATACGGAAACGCGCAACCAATCAGTAATCGGTGAAACGCGAAACCATAAAGCTGGTTCTACATTAGTCGCATCGCAGCGTCGCAAGTGTTGTGGTCCAATCAACGTCAAGCTAGCTCGACTCTGATTGGACCATAACGCTTGCGATATTACGATGCGACTAATGTAGAACCGGCTTAACAGCGGATTGCTTCTGATTGGTTACGCGTTTCCGCGTTTTCGCGCTCATGTAATGGCATCCTAAATACCGGTCTATAAAAATTGTTTGGGTTAACAAGCACGATCAAGCAATGCGAACGAACTTGGTTAGTTTAGAACAATTTAGAAACGTCTGTGCTTTTTTATTCTGTAGGCCTATTCTGTAACTTTTTAACGACAATTTTACTAGCTAGGGATGTCGTTGCGCAGGTATTTACATGATGAAAAAGCTGCGCAACGACAATATAACGATACCGAACTGTCGTTAAAAGTTACAGAATAGCCCTACTGACGACATTCATGAGATGCTCATTATTTTAGAGCATTGGACGTTATAACAATCTTATTATCGTTCCAGTTATTTACCGTTTCGTTTATAAACATTTACAAAATTTCGTAATTGTTTTGCAAGAATTGATAAATATTGCGAAATGCGAAAAAATTGGCACAAGGGTAACTCAACGTCGAGCTAACAAATTTTGTGTAATTAATTTTATCTATGTAATTTATCTAAAATAATTGAGAAATGGCCGACGAAAAGTCTGTAGTACAAGAATTTAAATTGGATCCAGATTGCGAATTGAGGTTCGAAGTGGAAAGCAAAAATGAAAAAGTTACATTGGAGGTAATAGGACATGATTTTTTATAGAGAATTTATTTCATTTATTACTATTTTTTAAAATTTTATTATCGGGTAACAAAATATTGTTATTGCAGTTAAAGAATGGCTTGGCAGAAGTTTTTGGGACAGAATTGGTGAAAGGGAAAAAGTATGAGTTTACTGCTGGTGCAAAAGTTGCAGTTTTTACTTGGCAGGGCTGTACTATTGAATTAGTTGGGAAAACAGACGTCAGCTATGTAGCAAAGGAGACTCCTATGGGTCTGTACTTGAATTGTCATGCAGCAATGGAACGAATGAGAGAGATGGCAGAGAAGGATGACACTAGAGGGCCAATAACAATGATAGTAGGACCTTGCGACGTAGGAAAGTCTACGCTTTGTAGAATATTATTGAACTATGCTGTTAGAATGGGCAGAAGACCTATTTTTGTTGATCTTGATGTTGGTCAGGGACATATAGCGATTCCTGGGACTGTGGGTGCTTTGTTGGTAGAACGACCATCCAATATAGTGGAAGGTTTCAGCCAGCAAGCTCCACTTGTCTTCCATTTCGGACATAAAACACCACAAACAAATGTAACGCTATACAACTTACTTGTAACACGTTTAGCAGAGGTCTGCTCAGATAGATTACAAGCCAACAAAAAAGCCAAAGCATCAGGGATTGTTATAAATACATGTGGCTGGGTCAAAGGAGATGGTTATAAATTGCTCACGCATGCTGCACAGGCATTTGAAGTGGATGCGATTCTTGTATTGGATCAAGAGAGACTCTACAACGAATTGGTGAGAGACATGCCAGACTTTGTGAAGGTAGTCTTTTTGCCGAAGAGTGGTGGAGTTGTCGAGAGAAGCCAAGCGCAAAGAAGTGAAGCGAGAGATCAGGGTGTTAGAGAATATTTCTATGGTTCACGGACTCCACTGTATCCACATAGTTTCGAGGTAAAGTGGAACGAAGCAAGATTGTACAAAATTGGAGCACCTGTTCTACCAGCATCTTGCATGCCATTGGGCATGAAGGCGGAGGACAACCTGACAAAACTGGTGGCTGTTACACCGGGACCTAGTTTGCTGCATCATTTGCTGTCTGTTTCCTTTGCTGATTCTCCTGAAGATGACGTTGTACAGACTAATGTAGCTGGATTTGTTTGTGTGTTAGTATACAATATTCAATAATCTGATATTTACCATTATTAATCCCTCATCTGTAATTTGGATCTTTCTTTGTCCAATCTAAGTTTATTTACTGTTTTAAGTTTTTTAAAACATAAAAAAATTCAGGATTACGTTTCATCTCTATTACATTACCGAATAATTTTCTCAATTATTTTAGGAGGGGAAACCGTTCTTCTTTATTTCGAAGAAATTCAAAAGCGAAATTTCGCTTATGCCAAAAAAGATCCAGATTGTAGACAGAGGATTATTAATCGATATCATTTTTCTTATGAAGATATATTTCTTATTTACAGGACTAACGTGGACGTTGAAAGGCAGACGTTTACAGTACTTAGCCCACAACCTAGACCATTACCAAATACAGTGCTATTATTGTCGGATATACAATTTATGGACAGCCATTAGATTTAGATTATTTTTTATTATTATTATAAATGTGATAAAGGTAAATAGTGAAATAAAATATTTTTAATGAAATTGTAAATTTTTACCTGGCGCTTACATGAAGTTTAGGAGTTTAGGATGCAAAAATATATCATGTAGCATTTTATGAATATTTGTATAAGTATCTGTATTCAATATCTGAAGAATAATTAAGAAATACAAAACAAGAACATTTCAAATAGAATTTCCATGTTGTGTACATTTACAATATCTTTTCCTCTTTTTAATTTCCTCTATACTTATGCAGTATAAGTTAAATAATTATGTTAAATATATACATGTACGAACTTTGCACAAGTTCATTAACTGTCCCAAAATTTTTGAACTATTTTATATGACAACAGCTGTTCATTATTTTCCATTTAAATTATATATTTATTTAAATATTTAATTTAATTATTATAATAAGCATTTAATTATTGTAACTGCAAAGTCCATTTTTATAGCCGTTTTTTATATCTATATTAGATCTGTCATTTATTTTTATACTCACTGAACTGATGCACCACGGTGTAATAAATTGCAGCAAAACAAATGTACGTTTGTTTCACTTCAACTTATTACACTTGTGCAGTTCAGAAAGTGTAGGAATAAACGACAGACTTATTATAAATAGATGTAAAAAACAGCTATAAAAATGGACTTAAATATTTATTATGCTTTCTATATCTAAAAATAAAGAGAACAAATCTATTAGATCCTATTTATTTTACTCGTAAATGTCTTATTCTTTCTCTATCACGCGTTTTTTTATAAAAGAAAAACACTCAGAGAAGAGAGGGGTGTAACTTAAGAAGCACCTGATACTTTGACGCGTCCCTTAAGGAACAGTAGATGTGATCGATGTTGATCGATGTTATCACACATTGATAGTGTTGATACGCACATATTTACGAGCTGAGAAGATAAGACTGAAGATGAGCGCACGATGAGCGTAGTGCACGGTATCATTAAGACGATGATCGATGCTCGTGAATGATTTTTTCTCTCTGAGTCTAATGAATTCGAACGTCGAATTCGTTTCGGTTGCGTGTGATTCCACGTGTTCCGCAATAACAAGGTGATACCACGCAGCTGCTTGTACCATAGATAGTGAAGGATCATCGGAGATATGATGTTTCTTTGATTCTCGAGGAAGGCCGAAGATCGCTTTTCGCTCGCTTGTCGAAATAATCCCGTCGTCGGTGAGTGACAACGAGATAACCTCCAAGTACATGTGACATGTCGCGTAGAGCATATTTATAGCTTGATCAAAAGAGAGAAGGAAGAGAAAATCAGGATAAATTTAATTTTGTGAAGAAAATAAGCCGAATTTAAGACAGAAGAAATAGGGTAACTATCTAGCACTGTATAATCTCAAAAGGTTGAAGCCGCTATTATTCTACCATCCGGTGGGAACTTACAAGAAAGATATTTCGCGTGTTTGTGTTTGTAATATTCAAATTGCTTCTCGCGAATCGAATTATTACATCTGTCAATATCTGCTGATTTGTTATGCTCTTTCCTTCTGCGTTATGCAGAATATCTAGTTAAAAAGCAAATCTGCAGCAATTTTCATTAATTAGTTTCATTAATCACTTATCAATTTTTATTAATCACGAATTAATTATTTGGAAAGTATATATGCAAGATATATATATATATATAAGTCGGATTTCTTTTTAGTTTAACTTTTTATATAAGAGTTCATCTTTTTTTTTCTTTTCAATATAAAAAGAAAAAGAGAAAAGCATTGTGCAGGAAGTTTAGCTAAAAAGAAATAGGCCACAAGGCCAAATGTATGATTTTATAATTTACTAATTTTATTGATAAGCTAGATTATTGCTTTATGATTCATTGGTACTTACTTTTTGCAGATTTTATAGAAATATATATGCAATAATGTTGCGTCGATTGCGTATTAAAGCTTTGGCTGCTGTGCCAGTTCGAAAAAAGCTTACGCAGAATTCAGCAGATTCTACTGAAGCTAACAATGACGTTGATAAGGAAAAGGAGGAAGAAAATATATCTAATATCAACGAGATAAAGCAAGAAATTATTGAAGATATTGCGCAGGTAAAAGAACAGAAAGAGAAAGATGTAATTAAGACTGATACATCCGAACAAAAAGAACGAAAAGAAAAAGATGTATCCAGTACTGATACATCAGAACAAGAAAAACTGAAAGAAAAAGATATACCTATTGATATACCAGAACAAGAAACTGCCAAAGATATTGTAAAGGTCAAAGAGGAAACTGAGAAGAAACAGGATAAAGTCAATTTAAGAGAATCAGTTATAGATAAACTAGATTCCCAAGAATTATGTTCTCCAATCGAATCATATTCTCGAGAGTTACATGCTCAGGTAAAGCCAAATTCTCAAAAATCTCCATTAAACTCAGACTCTCAAGAGTTACATGTTCAGGCAAAGCTAAACTCTCAAAAATATCCATCTCCACTAAAATCAGACTTTCAAGAGTTACATGCTCGAACAAAGCCAAACTCTCAAGAGTTACATGCTCAGGCAAAATTAAACTCTCAAGAATCTCCGTCTACTGGATTCAAGCCTGACAAAGTTACTGATCAATCAATTCAAAAAAATATTCCACCATCAGATATGTCTACAGTAACAGATATTGGTAAGATAAAAAGAAATTTAAATTGGAAGTATGAAAATATTTTATATTTTGATTACTATCAATATATCTATAATAATATCATCTTTAAGATTATAGATATAACAATAACAATATAATTTCTTTATAATTATATGTTCTTTAATATACATATTTTTCAGCCTCTCCTACAAAGGTGATACAGAATCGTCCATGTTTTATGAGACCTACACCAAGATTAGACAGTAGCGGTAGAATAAGAAAGAACAGTATACAAGGAAGCGGTGCGAGCGCAAGTGAATCCGAGGATGAATACAGCAAGAGAGTTGCATCTGTCGTGCCGAACCGCGTACGAAATGATTCTGTCTGTTCTGTACAAAGCAATAAGGAAACTAATGTCAATGACAATCAAAACAGTCCTCAGAAAATTAAAATAACGCAGAAAAGACGTACGCTAGTTTCGGAATCGGCGAGAAAGCTGGCCGAAGCTAGAAGGGAGTTTTTACTAAAACATGAAAATAGAACACCTGATAGAAGTCAGTTGAAAATGTACGACTTGATATATTATAATCCAGTGACAAATCCTATGAAAAAATTGTCAGCTGGACGTAGAGCTGACTCAGTAACTATACCACAGTAAGCATATTAAATTATAACGATAAAATATAAAACATCTATACAAGAATGTTATTGATTTTATTTTTTTATAGACCAATGGAAATGGAAGAGGAAGATGAAGATGATCCATCGGCGATGCCCACGCCGCAAGTGAAAGTAGGTCCTGATGGTCAGTTGATAATAGATGAACAAAGTCTTGTGATAGAGCAGACAGATGCGAGAAGAGAGGAAGAAATATTGACGAGTAATGTTACTATAGAAGATGATAATTTCCATAGCGGCGGTTTCTATAAAAGGCATAAGAGGAGCAAGGAGTGGCCGAAATGGGAAACATTTAAATTTTATAGAGTTTTAAATGTAGTAGGTACAGATTTTCTATTAATGCAGAAGGAAGAAAGGGTTAATCGACAATTAGTTGAAAAAGCCCTCAAATATCATCAAGAATTTGATACTGATATGCTACAAGAGGAACTAGGTATGTTCCTTTATAGTTTTTTCTACTTTTATATATACAAGTTATGAAATATATAAAACAATGTTTAAAGATGAGTGTAGAAAAACTTTGCCAAATTGTTTGAGAGTATTTTCAAGTAGAAAAAAAATATACATTTTATTCTCAATACTTGATATAATTATAACAATTTGGAGTTAATTGCTATGTCATAGTAAAATCGCAAGCATTTTTTGTTTCGATTATAATTGGCTGCGTTCAGCAGAGAAAACTGATTAGTAAGCGCTCAGTGATTTCTTTAAAATAATTGATTTTTATACTTAGATCCAGCAAAAAACTAAAGATAAAAACCAATTATGTATTAGATTCTGACCACTCACTGATCAATTTTCTTTGCTGAACGCAGTCAATATTTTGACTAAAAATTACTTTATATCATTATGGTTTTACTATAATTGCAGTTAAACTTCGAATCATAATTACGTAAATAAAATTTTTCTATTCTTGAAATGCCTTTCGTATCTGTTTGTTCTTCTTTAGATTTTAATTTACATTATGTTATAAACAAGTAAATTACAAAATATGTTTTGCCTTTAGAAATGTTACAAAATCTGGAAAATATACAAAACACATCCAAAAAAGCGCCGGAGAAATCTAAGAGCGAACAATCCTTGAGCAGAAGTCAAAGAAAACGCAAGCATCGTAAGTATAATATAATTTTAATTTCATAAAATAAATAATGTTATTAATAATAATACAATAGAAAATTTCTTGGGACATATTAAAGAATTATATTTTATACGAAGTGTGTGTGTGTGTGTGTATATATTACATACATTTATGGAAAATTAATCCAAAACAAACAATTACAGGATTAGTAGCGGAAAGTATTGGAGAATGTGGATCACTACCCAATGATCTAGAAGCTGAAGATACTGTAGTGTCGACGACAAACGATGAAATCGATATAGAAATTTGTAGCGATACAAATAATGTTCAGCAACAAATGGGAAAGAAAAAAGCGCGAAGATCGAAAAAGCGTTCGGACGACAAATTCGACGATTATAGCTCTTGTACAGATGCTGATTCGGATAGCTCTGAGGAAGTATATCAACTCAGACCGACTAGATCTGGTAGATTGTCAAAGAAGATAAGGAAGTTACAAGCACCTGACTTAACTACACGTAACAGTAATAATAAAGAGAAAAAATTACCGATAGACAACAAGATACCGTCACATGTAGCTGTGGAAGTTACAGAGTATGTAAATACACAAGTTACGAATAGCGAAAACACGGAAACATCTTGTTCCGACAATATTATGTCGATGATACCAAATATTAATCAAATGGAACCAGGAGCCTTGGTAATCGTCTCGAAGGAATCTGCAGAGAATCCTGGAAATACTATTTTACAAGTTTATATGGTTGCCTCCAATATCGACTCTAGCACAACAGTTACATCTAGCGCGGCGTCTGGGAATCAGCCATTGGAGCCTTCTTTAATCAATCAACCGGAAAATACCGAACCGATTGACATTGTGGATGATTCTGAAAAATGATCTTTTGCATTGCATTTAATTATAATCTAACTTTATATAAAGTTACAAAAATTGGAATATTCTTTAATAGGATATTAAATTTTGTTGTAAATTTATGTAAACTATGCATAAGATAAATTTTTTTCACATGTGTGTATATATATGTATATATATATATATACACATACATATATATGTGTAAACAAATTTTTTATACTAATTGCAAATTATGTATAAAACATTTTCTATCTGTAGTTATAGTTATTTTTTTGCGACGAAACGGAGATTGTGTTAAATATGATAAGGCTTGATTAATATATGTGCAAAACGAGAGTATATTTTATCTATTTTTAACTTTTTTTTTTTATCAGAAAGCGATAGCGAAATTTTTTATATGCCTATTTATTTTGTCATTCAATTTGCGCATTGAATAATTTTGTAGAGCGAGATGAGAAATGATATATAGTATACAAAAAATATATTGCTCAGATGCTACGTCTCTATTCTGAACACATTAATTAGTTTTATTTCTGATCATAAAAATACCAGAGCTGTGTGCGCGCGCGCGCGCACGCACACACACGCACGCACGCACGCACGCACGCACGCACACGTACATAATACACTGTGCATTTACAATTACTACTATTGAATAAATCGGTATGAAAATAAGAACAATTCGATTCTCTTGCAAGAAAAATATTAGAATGTGTATAAACACATCAACACACCACGAGTATGTAATGGTCAAAGCACACTGTTATAATAATCAGCATTATAAATACTGCCATAAGTATTTTTTGTAAAATTATATTAGTCAATATTAAGTGGCTTTTAAATAACATTAAAGCTGCAGAATATACAAATCACATGTAAAACATTGAGCAACTGAAATGCATTTATTTATTTTTGCAATAAAAATTGCACATATATTTGGAAACTAATGGTTTTATTGTCTTTAGTATCATAATTGACAAAATGTATCCTTTTATATTTAAAAGATTACGTATAATTTATTTTTGGTATTTTTGCATAAGTTAAAATTTTTATTTTTATTGCATTTGTGATAATAGTGATAATGATAATAATGATAATATATTTTTTAAGGTTATCTTATTGTTTTAATTTAATTAATAGCACAATTCTATAGTATCACATGGAATCCATTTTGAACTTTCCAAAGCATCCCACAAATTATAATCTTGTTCGATTATTTCTCTGTTCACCTTATCGATGTCAATGGGGATTGAATGCTCTATAAAAACAGAAAATATAAAATATTAGACTAGTATATTTAAGATTTGTTGAAAAATATGTGATACATATTTGTTTCCTTACAACATCATAAGAAGATAAATAACATACCGATTAATTCTAATTCGTCCTCCTCAGGTTTTTGATCAGATACATAGCTATTGTAAGTATCTGATGTCGGTTCGCTTTCATAGTAACCTTGTTGCCAAGCACTGTAACTATTCCAGTATGATGATGTATCATAATAATTATATGCCTCTGAATTCATGTTTGATGCTGGATATTCAGAAGTTGATTGCGGTGGTGTTGAACTAAAATCATTAATTTAAAATGAACTATAAAATTATTAATTAAATATTATAGATAATTCTTTCTCTACAGTATAATATCGAACGCGAATATTTTGTTCAGAACACACAATGGCCAGACAAAAGAATTTATCCTTTTTACAAACGTTATTTATAATTTTTAATGTACAGTTAAGACACACCCAGATATTTTGTTCCAAGGTCTAGGCACTGCATTGCAGATTTTCAAAGATTTTGTTCCAAGTCCTCTGTAGCCATTCATAGTGATTAGACTGTTTTTCTGTTCTTCCTCATTTGCAAACCTGACAAATCCATAGCCTTTGCTGAATCCAGAACTATCCAATATAACTTTAGCTGTTCTGATTGAGTTATACTTTGCAGCAAATGCCCTATATAAGGAATAATCGTCTACGTCGGTAGACAGATCGCCTACCCAAATACTGAATTCTCGCTCGGCGGCAGGTTTCCCAGTAGTGCTAGCGTGATTTAATCGAAATCGTACAGGCTATAAAATACATCAAAGACAACGTTCATTAACTCATTGCTAAAGCAATACTTGTCAAAATTTAGGTTTAGTACATAGAATTGTCATCCCTGATGTCATATATATACTAAGAATTTTAACTGAAAAAATATTCCATTGACAGAAAAAATTTTTTAAATATTGAATCTAAAAAATGAAGGTAGATACATTGTGTGTAGAAGCATTATGTGTCTTGGAGAATAAATTTTTAAATCAATTTTAGAAGCTTAATTCTGTACAGTATAATTATAAGGCAAAGGATTTATAATTTTTTTCTATGAATTTTTTCTATTATAATGAAATAAAGAAAAAATTAAGATCTGTATAGGATGATTTTTTTTACAGAAAGTCAACTCGACTTAAATACTATTGATTGTTGTTGTTATTAAAATAACAATTATTGCTTAAGTATAGTGTAAAATATGTATTGTACTTATAAAAGTTCTATACTTATAGTGGAACTTGAATAAAAGATTTATAGATTTTTTTCTATAAAAATTATATAGGATGGCTTCCTTACAAGAAGCCAACTCAACTTAGATACTATTAATTGTTGTTTTAAGCAATATTAAAAATAATATTGACTGTTGCTTAAGTATAGCACAAGCTATTGTATATTTATAAAGTTTAATGCATTACATACTAATACTTACAGGATTTGAACCAGGTATCACTTTACCATTCAATTTATGCATGGCATCGAGCGCCATTTCATCAGTTGGAAAATGTACAAAACAATATCCTGCTGGCTCGCCAGTGTATCGATTCCGCATAACTTTTACTGTTTGTGGTTGTTCGCCCATTTTGTGAAATGCGTTCATGATAAAGCTTTCTGTCATATATGGCTCCAACTATAATTAAATGATTTTTAATAATAATTCGTATTGTGTGGAATATTTGTGAACGGAGAAATAATTTATTTAAATTTTATTTAAACAATTTTTTTTTTTACTTACTCCACCCATCCATAGTTGACACAATACCATTGGCCCTGACATTTTTGCTAAATATTACAATCTATTTTTTCTGATATGTAGTTAAGTATTTATCTTTTCTGATCTGACTGAATTCTGCAGAACAGAATAAAAAAAAATTATAAGAGTTATACCGTCTTAGTGCTATTTCTTTATCTTGACTGTATAACAAATTTTACACTGATCTTAGATATTAGATGTATGTATATACGTACACTGTGATAATGTACACCGTATATCTTTGCACGATATTTTATTAAATAGAATCAACGATAATTCGTTTTGTGTAAGAAAAAAATTAAAGTGTATATAAATACATGCTAACCGCTAGGCACGCTAGTATCATACCGTTGACAACATATATCATCAGATTTCTCTCTGCTTAAATAATGCATCTACACCTTATTCTCGGTGCAGAATGCCTAAGGGCGCGTTTACACCTTGACGGAAAAGCAGAAAGCGGAAAAGCAGTGGCTAATCACAACTCGCGCTAATCACAACTAATGCATCTACACCTTATTCTCGGTGCAGACTGCAGATAAATAACCATACTCATATTTTGTTTCGCAGAAGTAATATTTTATTACGAAATTTTCTTTTATTTATATTTTACGAAATTTATTAGAGTCGGATTTTGTAATTTAATCTTTAAAATATCATAACAAATAAGATTATCTACACTTCAGCTATTTACAATGAGGCCTGTTCTTTTTGGCTGAACTTTTGCACCAGTTCAGCCAAAAAGAACAGGCCT